CGAATGTTGATTTTTGTGTGTTGTGTATTGTTATTTTTAGATATCTTTCGTGTTGTTGTTGTTGTGTGGAAAATACTAATAACATTTATTTTAAACAAAACAAAAAAAAAAACCCCGGTCCATTTCTATGGTGGTGGTGCTTGGGGTCTTTGAAGGATGGGAGGCAATAAAACCATTTTACAAAAGTGCTACTCCTCTCTCCCCTCAGCATCCCATCCACAGCTTCTCTGGATACGGCTGATCTTCCTCCTGAAAGCGACAGCAGGGACCAGCTGAAGGATAGACTTACGGATGTCGTCGCAACGATGAAGAGTGGGAAGATCCGAAGGAAGGTGCTCCAAGATCTTTCCGCCTTCCTGCAGAAGATCCAGGAATCTGTGAGTTTCTGAAGGGAAGAATTGCAATCATGCAGGGCTGTCAAGGCCTTCAGGCTGCTGCTTCTAGGCCCACCCTGTAAAGTGCCCAAGGGACAATCAGGCATCCCAGCACTTATCCAATTTTGAGAACAGAGCTGGGCCATAGCAGAATGAATCCCAGCGAGTAAAACAGCTGAGAAAAGAAGTAAAAAGTGAACATCAGGAAAAGAGGGGTGGGAAGTCAAAAAGAAATGTTTTTTTTCTGCATAGGATGCTAAATGTTTTGGAATGTTTGGAAGATTTAATTAAAATGTTATAGGAAAAATGGTGATGGATTGCTTCTCTTATCAGTCACTTCTCTTGGTTTCTTCTCAGCCATCGGTTGCGCTTTCTGCATCCTCCCTTGGCCGACTGGTGGCGATTTCCTGTCTTTGTGCGTTGGATCCAGACCCGGAGAGCAGGCAGCGGGCAGCAGAGGCCCTCTGCCATCTTCTGCCCATCCTGCGGTGCAACGAAGGTAAGACTGGAAGAATGCATCCCAGCATGGGGTGGGATGAGCAAGACTCAAACTAACCTTTTGACTTTCCTTTGCAGAGACACTGGCACGAACGTCATGGAACCAAACGCTCATCTTCAGAGCTGAGAAGGTCCTCAAATCCACCGGAGGACCGGTTCCTGAATTGTTCGTGAATAATTGTTACTCTCTTGCCAGGGTAAGTCGCTGTCTCTCAAGCCACATGTTCTGGGTTCTGCAGAGGCAGCACCTGGGCTTTCTGCTCCCCAGCCCTGCCCTGTGGGCATCTCTGACCTTCCTCTCTTGCTTCAGGTCTTTGGCGCCTTTCTCCCTGCGGAGCAGCTCTTGGAGGCCGTGTGCTTCCTGGCCAGAGACCTGGTTGTCGAGAGCAGCTTCAACCCGTTGGATATCTCCCACTTACTGCAAGAATTCATCAAGCAGTTTGGCGGCACAAAAGTGGAGGTAAGGCATCTGCAAAGGTAGGAGAGAAGAAGATTCTCTGCTTTGGTGTAGGGGAGGCAACCTCATGCCATTGGGTGGCCAGGACACATGTTAGTTGAGAGGGGCCTGGCAATGTCAGGACAAGAACCTCAGCCAAGGGTCCTGAGAAACATGGATTCAGGGATGGGGAATCCTCCTCCTTCTGGGAGCAGACTGGCAAGCTTCTTCTCTTGGCCCACAATGGATAGGGGAACTGGCGCCCTGGAGCTGCCAGGGTCCAATACTCCCAGGGACCCTGAGTGGTACCTTGGAAGGAAGAGGCTGTGGTGGCACAGGTCAAGGGTCCCTCTTTCAATGAGGGATGGAGGGATCTGCCTGCAGACAGCCCCGCTTCCTTGTACTCTCTAAGCAACCCTCTCCTTTTCTCTGACAGGTGAAGGTGCTGCTGGAGGCCTTCTATAAGATCAGCCAGGGGCCTACAGTGCAAGGCAGAAGCATGGCCGTCTTCGCTTTGTCCATATTGTCACACCACCACCTGGACAAAGTGGTTGAATACCTCCTCCAGTTTCCCTTCGGGTATGGAGCCCTCCAGGTTCTACTGGGCTAAGGGGGAGGTTGGCAAGCTGCAGGGCTTGCTCAGAAAGCCCTTGCTGCCATTTCCTCTCTCTGGAGCATGGCAGCAAGCAGGAGACTTGAATCTGACCATTGCTCTTGTTTTTCATTCACAGACACTGCGAGAGAGTGTGGAAGGAGGTTTTAGCATCGGCCGACCCAGAACAACTGATCCATCTCACGGCCGAGCAGCTTTACGAAAGCCCCTTGGCGGAATCTGCCATCGAAGTGGTAAGGACCTACCACCTGCTTTCTGGCTTCCTTCTTCCCAGGGTAATATCTAGGGATTCCTGTATTCTGCAGAAAAGCAGGGAAAGTGACTTGCACCTCTCTCTCTTCCAGCAACATCTCACCAGCCTGTTGCACGCCATCCTCAGGATGGAGGACTACAAGGCAGCTGTGCGCCAGAACTTCCCACAGCTGCTGATCGCTCTCCTGGGGATGGTTATCAACTTCCACTATGACCAGGAATTCCTCGGGTGAGTAGTGTGTTGCAAAGGGACCAATTGAGTCCTTTCCCCTTCAACCTCGGGGGGTTTCCTGTCCATCTTGGTTTTGCAAGGGAGGCTCTCCTTCAGGCGGCTGCTAGGGAGGAGGGATGGGGAAGGAATTTGAGTGTGTGACAATGACCCTCCTGGTAAAACTGGCCTTGCTTTGGTTGCAGAGGGGCTAAGGAAGTTCTGCACCTCCTTCTTGGCACCACTGGAGAGCAAGTGGAGGCGGCCATCGTTGACCAACTTTTCTGCCGGGAGACTTTCAGCCAGGGGTTGTCTGCCATGGTGAGGTAAGAGGAAGAACACGGTGACCTTCCCCAATGGTCTGGCAAATGGAGCTGAAGGCACGGGATCGGACTGTGCCCCTGTTTGCTTCCTGTGGTGTCTTTCCCTTCCTTACCAAGATCTGTTTCTCCATTTCAGAGCTGTCGGAAAGCGACACTGGTGGATCCCTCCCATGGTGGAAAGCATCATCGCTGCTCTCAAGGACCAGGATTTTGCCGGGATGCCACAAGTCGCGGCAGCTATCTACATCGAGGTGAGGGGGACTGACGCGGGAGGAAATGGGTGCAGCAAGGAGGTCCTGGCTTGGTTTCTGCCGAGTGTTGGGCTACTTTGAGCCTAAGGACTGTTGCCTGTTTTAGTGCTCCTCAGAGTAGACCCATTGGATTTGATGTACATGACAAACTTTGGTACATTCACTTCAGTGGGTTTGCTCTGTGCAGAATTGCAAATGGTGGGTAAAAGGAGAACCTGCCTCAGCCGCTCATCCCTGAAGAGTTTCTTTCTCTTTGGGCCTCTTTAGCTGCTCAGCTGCCGTCTGGAGGTCTATCCCTGTGAAGATACACTGGAGCAGCTCCTCAACTGGCTGGCACACGACCACCTGCAAGTCCGGAAGCTCAGCGTCAGAGGGATATCCCTGCTTCTGGACTCTGACATGGCAAGTGATGCTCAGAGGGAGGGAGGGGGGGTACAGATCTTGATTCTAATCATGGCCCAGCACTCTTTTGCTGGCACAATACTGAAGGGCCTGTGCCAAAAGGTGTGAGGCCTTTCAGACCTTTGAAAAGATTCTCTCTTTTGTGTAGGACCCTTCGCTTCTGCGGCTGTTGCTGCTGGATTCCCTCCCTTCTGCAGAAGCCGATGTCCTCCCGGAGTTGATAGAGCTGGTAGACCAAGCCTACCATTCCAGGGAGCTGGGAGAGGAAGACCTGAAGATGCTGGCGGCAACCTACTGCGGTCTGGCTGCCCATGTGAGTATGAGGGAAAACATGACACCACACCCGATGGAGGAGGAATGCTTTGGAAGAGGAAGGGTGGGGTTTAGACTGGCATGCAGCAGAGATGTTCTGGCTTCAGGAGGGTGTTCCTCTGGAACACCTTCTCTTGGAAGCCTGCCTGGAAAACGCAGGGAGAGAGTCACCCCTGCCCCCAGTCTCCCCCAGGAGGAGGATAGGGGGCTGAGCAGCCTCAAAACACCCCAGGGGGCAGGAGAAAGGAAAGTGATCTGATGAGAAACACAACCTCTGATATTTTCTGCCTACAGGAGGAAGCCTCCGTCCGGGCATCAGCCATCCAACATCTGGGGCTGCTTCGGGGCTGGGTGAGAGACCAAAGGCTTCCCATAATAACAACAACAACAGAAGAAGAAGAAGCCATTCATGAACTGGTTGTGGTCCTCATTCACCTCGAAGACGAGGACGAGGTGGCCAAGGTGAGGGCCAAAGAGGTGGACTTACACAGTAGGAGGGAGGGATTGTTCTCAGGAGCTTACGAGACTATGTAACGCAATTTGTAACCCTCTTCTCTTCTTGTGTTGCAGGCTGCAAGGAGGGCTCTTTCTCATCTAGCCCCACAAGTGAAGTGGTGGGCTCATCCCAACAAATTTAGCCTCCACTTTGCTCTCCACCAGGCTGCCAAGCATCTGGTAAGGTCCCTCTGCTTTGTTGGCAGCTTTGCCCAGGCATGTCTCTGGGAGTGCAAGGCTCTTCTGCCGCTCTCTCAAGCTTCTCTGATGCCACTTCTCCTTTGTCTTTGCCCACAGAGCAAGACCTTCAGCAAGGACATCCTTCGGAGTGCTGCCTTGACATGTACGAAGCCGTCCACCAACAGGCTGCCATCAGTCTCCAGGGTGGCAGCTCTGCTTCTGGGTAAGTCAAGCAACGTCCTTCCCTGGTAGGGATGGACAGAAACGTCTTGGTAACGATGGCAGGGAGGATGGACATGTCCCCAGGCCTCCATCTGTGCCCAGATCTTGCTCTGAGTGCTCCGTGAGGGTGGAGGCCTCTAGACGCAGCAGAGCATACCTGTCCTCCTGCCGAGCTGCCTCTGTCTCCCCTTGCTTTGCACCGAGATGACATCCCTTTCCTGCCCTCTCTCTCTTTCTCTAGGTCATCTGGCTTTCCGGGATGCCAGTTTCATCCACAATCAAGACATGGCATCCTATGGAACATGTGAGTGAGACGTACGGAGGGCAGGGAGGGATGCTTCTGCTGAGAAAGGTCTTCAGGGGAAGGCAAATTCCCAGATGTATGTTCAGACAGAGGTGCCACAAGATGAACATGCAAAGAGAATTGGAATGTGACTTCACTGCTCTCTCTCACACACAAACACACCTGACGGCTGTTTTCATATTGTTGATGGATGGCTCTTTTCCTGTGTATCTCCGCCTTGCTCAACCTTTCTCCCTTGCCACTCAGGGCTGGAAGAGATGCAGCAGCACGAGGAAGAAGGGCTCAGGCAGACAGGGAGGAGCTGCCTGAACATCATGCAGCGGGCCTATAAACATCGGAAGAAAGGCAGGGTCCAGCGCTTTTTTGAGGAGGCTGCTCCACTGCGTTCACAGGGAACCTTACCCGCAGGACTTCCTGAGCTGCATGCCAGGTGAGTGAGGCATCTGGTGGGCTATTGGGACATCTGGTGGGCTGTTTGGAGGTGACGTTTCTCAAGGAGCCCCTTTCTCCTCCTGACAGAACATCCGCAGTAGCGCCAGGCCAAGTCAACGTAACATCAGAGTTGTGCTGCAGAGGTACCATCTTCTGCTCTCCGCGGGATCCAGTCTGGACCAGCGCCAGGAACATCAACGCCATCAGGATGGACCAAGAGGAGTGGTGCTGCCCTCACGACCCTCCGTACACAGCGGTAGGAAACCTTTTTGTTGTTGTTGTGTTTCTTGTTGATGTTGTTTTGGATTGTTGATTTTATTGATTTTGAATCTCAGGGTGGTTCACAACACCAAGTATACGAAGCACAAAATACATAATAAGAATAATCACTGCACAAAATTCATAATAAAAATATCAGAACATAATATAAATTAAAATAAAAACATACTAAAAAGAGCCACAAGACTAATGTATGCACACTAATAAACAATACAAAAGCCCTGAAACAACACTCCAGCCCACCAATACAAAATCTAAATCAACGAAACACATTTAACAACCATTTAAAACAACCCCACCTTCTTGAAGAAGGCTGATGTATTAGATTTAGAAGGTTGGAATACAAAGTTTGGATGGCACGCCTACCTAACATACAACAAAGTGGCAGTGCATAAGGACTTTTTAAATCATATAGTCAGAATTTCATTATACAAGGTCTGGGATAAGTACCACAGACTATTAGAGCCCAAAATACCCTGGTGGGTATCCCCAGTGGAGATGATAACGGTAAAAAAAGACAAACATGGACACAAATTGGGCAACTTACCAACAATTAATAAAGGTAGAACAGGGCCAATTAAAAATCAAATCGTATGAAGAAATTAAACAGTATTGTAACGGCTGGATTCAATATCACCAAATAGTGCATATATTTAATCAGGATAAGAAAATTGGTTTTGGAGAAAAGAAGTCATTATTACAAAAGGAATTAGTACAAACTAATAAAAAGACCCTATCTAGGATGTATGATCTACTTTTGGAATGGGAACTCAAGGATGAGATGCTAAAGGACGTTATGATAAAGTGGGCACAGGATTTTGGCCACAACATAATGTTAGCTGTGGAAATTTGACATCAAGTTCACAGCATGTTATACAATAGGGGAGAATCTAATGAAAATGATCTACCGATGGTACCTAACCCCTGCCCCAAGGAATCGGCAAAAATCTATAAGCAAAAAACCAATGTGTGCTGGAGATGTAACACCGAGATAGGAACAATGTACCATATGTGGTGGGGTGTAAGGAGATAAAAAGCTTTTGGAACAAAGTTCATGAAGAAATCATTAAGATTTTTTAAAAAACCATTCAATAAGAAACCAGAAGCGTATGTTGCAAACCTATAAGGAATACCTGTTACCCATTTAAAATATGCTCAAGAATCGACAGATGCAGCAATGGTTATCATTTATAAGGGCCTGTAATTTTGGCAACTCGTCCTCAGTAGTGTTGTTGAGGTCATGAAACTTCACTCTGCATTTGCCTTCCGGGACTATTTTACAAAAACCTCCTGATTTGGCGAGAAGATAGTCAAGAGCAAGTCTATTAGCTGCTGCTATCTGCTTCAAATCCTCAATCTCAGACTGCAACTGTCAGAGTATATGTGTAGTGGCATTGATGGTTTTCTCCAACCTGCATGTTAGGGCAAATAGTGCTTCACGATTTTGTTCAGCCACAACTCCTGGATGTATGCCGATGGTGAGGATGCTAACGAAGCCTCCACCAATAGCACCCACAGACCGGGCCAGGAAAATCTCATCACTGCACTGTTCCCCTTGGACTTCTCTCCTCTTTCTGTTTCTAAGAGAGGGTAGAGGAGGAAAAGCCTCCACAGTCACAGGGAAAGTAAAGGCACCTATTCCCACACACTGATAATTACCAGGGTGGTAATTAGTGGCTAGTCCATTATACAAGAACCAAAGATTGGGGTCCTTGATCAGCCAGCCAGAACAGATGGATCCCTGTCCGGTGAAGTTGACTGTATATTGGCGAAAGTATGGATACAGATCTGAGGATGTGGTGTTGCTTTGGTAAGAGGCGTTGAAGGAACCCCACAACCAAAACTTAGCAGTGCACTGTGTGTAATTTCCCAGCCAACCTTTATGTTGGTGGTGCTGGACATGCGACCAATCTTTCCATTTGGCGTTCCATGATCCAGAGGCATAACAACAAAAGCACAAGCCCAGGGTGGTTCTGGAGAACCGGAAATATCGGTAGGAGGTATTCATTTCAGAAGGAGGTGTCACGAAAAGGCCACTTTGATTATACAGTAGGCCTGCCAAGACAATGTCAGGGTCCCTGATTAGTCCTGGGATGAGGGACATGTCAGCTACCTTTCTAGGGTGTTCATAATAAAGGGTGACATTTTCTCCATATATTTGAAACATCTGCTTAGCATTCTTTACAAAAACATTTTCTTTTGTCATTGGTCTCCTCAAGGTCAAGATGCACATCAGGGTTAACATCAACTTCATCATGATCAAGGAACTCCATGGGTTCAAGGAGTCCAAGGATATGAACAATTCCTCGTGGGTAGTAAAAGAAGATAAGAAGGAGAGCAGTTATTATTACTGTAGGAAGAACTGGAGGTAACCAAGACCAGAGCATACCTGGAGTGTGAGCCAACCCTCCGTTCAGCCGCACCCAGTAGAGCCTCTTAGTGGTTCCCGGGTTCTGGTCGAACTGGAGTGGTCAATTCACACTATATACACCCTGCTATTGCTACTCAAAAAGGGTTTGTGGGGGGGGGGGGCGGAGGAAAGAAGGGAGGAAAGAAGGCTAATGTGACCAGTATGGTGGGAGGAAGTGCACCTTGGGGTGGTGGGTGAGAGAACCTGACTACAGTTCTTTTAGGTTCCCCTGGCATTTACCTCCTATTATAGGTTGGTCTTGGCTGAAACCCTTCTAAGGGTATATGGGTATATGCCACAGCTGCCTTGGTAATGCTTGTACCCAAACGGGTATGTATCAATCATAAAAATACAAGGGGATATGACATCCGTAATCCTCCAACAACTCTACCCACTTATCAATTATGTTCCCTAGCCCATCCACATTCCTTACTACAATCTGTACAGCAGGTCTGTATTTAAATCTGGCACAAATTGAGGACTAGCTGATAATTCAACTGGTAAAGATCCTCCCATCTGCCGGTGCAGTTCCTCAATCTTCGGGTGTGCATAGACTCACTGGCTTCCGGTGCAGTGAGAGCAGACCGGGTGTCTGGGGCTCGTGCCCTAACCCACTCCCGGTGGGGCTAGGCGCAGGGGTTCCTGGTGATCTTCAACTTCAGGGGGTCCGAAGGATTCTGCTCACAGTTCCAATGACCCTCAGACCGCTTCAGATGAGAATGATCAATCCAGGGGGTCACCTCGGCCACTTTCACCGTGGTAGGCGTTGCAAGCAAGATGGCATATGGACCACGCCACTTAGGAGCCAACAGGTTGTTCTTCCACTCCTTCACCCACACGTCATCTCCAGGCTGTAAGGGCTGTATGGGTTCAGCCAGGCTGATTGGCGTACGTTCAAGGGCCCACCTGTTAAGAGAAATCAAAACACGAGAGAGAGACTGGATTTGTTCTGATGTAATCTGTCCTCCCGTTTGTACTAAGTCTGCTCTTATTTCTGTGGTAAGTGGAGGAGGTCTTCCATACAAAAGCTCAAAGGGAGAGAGCTTTAGCCTCTTGGTGGGTGCACATCTGATCCTGAGCAAGGCTACGGGTAGAAAGTCCACCCAATTGCCATGAGTTTCCTGGCACAATTTGGCCAGCTGTGATTTAAGAGTCCAGTTCATTCTTTCTGTCTTGCCGGAACTCTGTGGTCGGTAGGCAGCGTGCAGTTTCCATTGTATCATCAGGGCTTTGCATACACCTTCCACTAACAAAACGATAAAGGCTGGTCCATTATCACTGCCTATACTGCTTGGTAGCCCAAATCTCAGGATGATCTCGGTTAAGAGGTGCTTAACAACTTCCCGGGCTGTCTCAGTCCTTGTGAGATACGCCTCAACCCACCCCATCAGAGTATCCACAAAGACGAGTAGATAACGATAGCCTCTTGCCCTAGGCATTTCCATGAATTCCACAATCATGTTCTCCATTGGCATTAAGCCTGTCTGCTGTACTTCTGGAGGAAGTACTGGGCCCTGCTTGGGGTTGTTTTTGGCACATAGGAGACACGTTCTTGACACAGCCTCAGCCAGCTGAGATAGCCTGGCGATATAGAATTGCCTGCCTAGGCCTTCTCGCAACGCTGTGGCTCCATAATGAGTGGACTCGTGGTACCGCTTCACCACTTCTCTGCCTAGGATTTCTGGGACAAAAACTCGCTGATCTGGCAATATGAACCATCCTTTATGGGGAGGTAAACTGGTTCTTCCTTCCTGGTGGGCCCATTTTGCTTCTCTCTCTGTATAAATGGGCTTCATTTCCTCCATATTAATAACTGCGGGCAAAAGGGAGGCTATCACAGAGTCTGGTGGAGGTTCCTCCAGGGCTGATTTCCTTGCTGCCTTGTCTGCCAAATGATTGCCCTTTGCCGTTTTGGTGGACTCCCAGCTGTGGCCCCAGCAGTGCATTACAACAATTTTCTCGGGTGCCCATACAGCTTCCAAAAGATTTTCTAATTGTGGGTCGTATTTGAGAGCTTTGCCCTTTGTACCAGTGAGTCCGTTCTCCTTCCATAGGGCTTCATGGGCATGCAGGGTTAAGAAGGCAAACTTTGAATCAGTATAGATATTGGCACAGCAGCCTGTTGATAGCTGTAGGGCCCTAGTGAGTGCCACAATTTCTTGGTCCGTGTTTGGATGGATCATACCTTCCTGCTCCCATTTAATCTGAATTATCCTTATCATTCTTTCTTTGTCGCTTATATAACATCCCTACTATCCCTTTCTTCGTCATTTGTCTTTTGTTCAGCACCATATCTATTTTCATTTGTGTCCTCATCGTTTCATCTGCTCTTTCCATTTTTACTAAATCATAAAGTCCTTGCACTTTCAGCCAATATTGTTTTCCTATTTTTTCTTAAAAAACTTTTTTTTGTAATTAAATTCCCCTCTTCATCAAACATATCTTTTAATTTATGAAATCCCTGATCTTCTAATTTCTTCCACCAACTAGGCTCCCTTTGACTCTCCTGCATATATTTTAACGGCATCCACCTTGAGTATGTTGGCATCCATTTTGTATTCCAGTTCTTCCAGATTCCTAACGCAGTTTTCCTTGGTCCTATTGTCTTCTTAAAAGACGTGTTAATATCTCCATTAAATAGCCCTTCTCTTCCTATTCCTTCATTTATTTCATTATCCAGTCTTATCCATTTAATCCCTTCCTTATATCCAATATCTATTAGATTTTTCAACTGGAACGTTTCATAGTAAAATTCTAAGTTCAGTATTCCCCATCCCATCTCTTCTTTAGATGAATAATTTACTATGTCTGGGGTTCTAACTCTTTTACTTCCAAAAATCCAATTTTAAAATACCTTATTCCATGTTTTGAACCATATTTTCCTAATGGGTAGTGTAATTACTTGAAATAAATATAATAATTTCGGTACCAAAAACATTTTAACTGCTCTAACCCTACCTAGAATAAATAAATTCTTCTTATTCCATGGTTTTATATCCTTCTTGATCTTTCTCCACGCTTCTTTGTAAATTACATCTGGAATCCTAGGACTATTTTTAATAATATTTACCCCAAGTATTCAATTTTTTCCCTATTTATATCCATCTTTGTCATTTTTGCAATTTCCTTCTTCTCCTCTTTCTTTACATCCCAAAATAAAATTTCAGACTTCTCCAAATTTACTCCCCGACTCCTCTTTAAAGTCCTTCAGGATTATCATAAGTTCTCTTACACCCTCTAAGGGGTTTGTAAATAATAATAGGATAGCAGCTGCATACATGTTTAACTTAATTTCTTCCTTTCCTTCCTTATATCCTTTTATCCTTACTGAGTTTCGTATTCTGTCTGCCAAGTACTCCATAGCCAATGCAAATAGTAGTGGTGAGAGTGAACATCCTTGTTTAACTCCTCTTTGTATATTGAATTGATCTGAAACCCCCTCATTCACTCTGACCACAGCCTTCCCTTCTCTATACAATTCCCGGATTGTTTCGACAGAGTTCTCTCCTAATCCTACCTCCTGCATAATATTCCATAAGAATTTATGTCTAATTGTGTCGAAGACCTTATACACATCCAATTTTTTACCCTGCTTGTTAATAAATGTATTTATTAAAACAATAAAAATAATAAAAAAATATTTATTAAATGTAGTTATTAAAACACATTTCTTATAGGATGGCCTATGTATCTTCCCTTAACAAATCCATATTGATCTTCCTTAATTATTTTAGGTAGTAGCTTTTCCATTCGCCTTGCCAGGATCTTTGTAAATATCTTATAGTCTTGATTTAATAGGCTAATTGGTCTGTATGACCCCACCTCTGTAGGGTCCTTTTGTGGTTTTTCAATTACTACTATTTCCACTAGTTTCCAAGTATCTGGGGCTTTCCCCCCTTCTAAGATATTATTAAATACTTTTTTTCAGTTTTGAGTCCAGGATATCAATTGTTTCTTTATAAAAGTCTGCCGTAATTCCATCTAATCCTGGGGATTTCTTACTTTTAAATGATTTAACTACATTCTCTATTTCTTCCAGATAAATTTCCTCCTTCAGTCTTAATCTATCAGTTTCTTCGATTTTAAACCCTAAACTTTCCCTACTTATATTTTTATTTTCTTCTTTATATAAAGATTGATAGAATTCTGCAAATTCTTTCCTTATTTCTCTAGAGCTTTGTGTAAGTATTTTCCTTCTGGTTTTAATGGCCTTCACCCTCTGTTTATCCCTTCATTTCTTTAAATAGTTTGCCAGTCTCTTATATGATCCTATTGAGGTTCTCTGAAAATAATTTTGGATCATATTATCTCTCTTCCAACTATATTCAGCTCATCCAATTCCTGTTTTAACTTTCTTAACTGCTCCTGTCTCCTCCTTAGAAATTTAAGCTGTTGCTGTTGTTGCAAGATTTCAATCTCTTTAATTTTTTCCGGTCTCCCCGAGTACCAATTCTTCTTAATCGCAATCTCTTTCAGTATCCAATGTCCTCTTATAACAGCTTTGAAAGCGTCCCATACTACTGGGATCTCGGCCGAACCATTGTTCTCTTTAAAATACCAACCAATTTGTTTTCTAATATATTCCCTGTTAATCTCTTTTGCCATTATTAAGTTATTGTACCGCCATCTCCTGCTTTTTTCATCCTCTTCCAGTCCCAGCTCCACAAATAGTGGAGCATGGTCTGAAATCCATATTCCCATAGTCTTTGCTGTTCTAACACTGATTTCATCCCCTTCTTTAATTAGCACATAGTCAATATAAGACAAAGTCTTATGTCTGTTGGAGAAGAAGGTAGGTTTGGTATTGGGGTTTCCCCTCTCAAAAACATCCTTTAATCCCCATTTAGATAATCTGAAACTACTGTCGTCCTTTATATTCCAATTAAAATCTGCTGTAATGATAACTTCCCCTTCAGCGTAAAGCTGCAGTCTATTCAACGTTTTCTTTATAAATTTTTTATGTCTTGTGTTAGGGCTGTATATATTAGCTATTGTAAAGATTTTTTGTGACACTTTAATTTTTAAGAATATAAATCTACCATCATTATCTTTTTTCGGCTCAGAACCTCCGGCTTAAGATTTACATTACATAGTATAGTGACCCCTCTAGCCTTGTTCGTCGCTTTTGATTCTGCTATTAGGCCCAATTGCTGAGAGCATAACAAAGGTCTATTGTTTGCTTTGGCTATATGAGTCTCCTGAAGGCATAGTATATCCACTTTCGTTTTCTTTGCCAGTGTCAGTACTCTGTAGCGTTTGGTGTTTGAGGCCAGCCTATTAACATTTAAAGATAAAACCTTTAAAGATCTATCCATTATCCCAGCTACTGTTTATTTTTTGAATCCCTCTGTGTACATATATTATATTTTCAATTCTGGCCCATTCAACTCCCCCCTGAGACTGAGGGATCTCCATGATCCCTGTCTCATGGTATCTTGGATAACCACACTCCTCTCCCTTCGCTCTTGGAAAGTTTATATCAGAAAAAGCAACATATATATATCTACAAAAGCCCATTTTAGATGTCTCTAGTATATATTATTTCTTGCTGTTTCCTTCCCCTCTCGACTTCCGTCTTCTTTTATTCTCTTGTCTCTGCACTGGAGATTCTGGAGATTTTTCGCTCGACTCTCCCTGTTGGTCTACCCGTAATTCTTCCGAACATGAGAGTTCTTGCTCAGTCTGTCCTTGTAGTCCAACTCCTAAACCAGCTAGCATTTTTTTTTTTTTGCTTCACCAGGGTTCTTAGCAGAATATTTCCTGCCGTCTTTAAAAACCAGCAGTGTAGCAGGGTAGGCCCAGGTAAAGAGGATTTTATGATTGTAGAGAGCTTGTGCAAACCGCTGCATACGTTTCCTGTCTTGAAGCGTTTCCTGAGAAACGTCTTTTCTCACTATGACCTTTCACTGTTTAAACTGCAGGTCTGCTTTCTGCCGGAGTGATTTATAAATTTGATCTCTTACCTTCTCTCTTGTGAATGCCATAATTACGACCCTGGGAAGTCCAGAGGCTCCTCGTGACGTGAACACCCAGTGCACTCTCTCAATTTCATTCTGTTCAATTTCAATTCCTTGTTCTTTTAGCCATTCTAACATCTCCTTTTCCAGGTCCTTATTCTCAATATCTTCAGAAATACCAGGGAATTTTAAATTCCTTCTGCGCTGTCTATCGTTCATTTGTGAAATCCTTTTTGTCAGAGATTCTATTTTGTTTACGTTTGCATCAGCTAACTCTTTTGCATACTCTGCTATTTTCATAACTTTTTCTACTGTAGCAGTCATTCTTCTCATCTCTCCTTTCAAGTCTTGCATATCAGTGCGAGCATTTGCTTCCGAACGCTGAATTATTTCACCCAGCTCCTTCAAAGACTTGGCCATCTTGTTAAGTCCTTCTCAAGTCTTTCCCAAATAAATAGATAAACCACCGTTTTAAGCACTAACTCACCCCAATCCAGGACTTGGAGCTAAGCCCAGTTTTCGGTGAGTTATCTCAGCTATCAGTTTGAAGAGAGTTAATTGTTTTTCAGGCTTTTAATTAGTAAAGTTCCAAGAGCGAGATGGGTGTGCGTCTACCCACGCCGACGCATGCGCAGTTCTGCTTGCACCTGGCTTTAGAGCTACTACAATTGGTGGCAATTTCAATTCTGCCCCTTTAGACGTGAAGGCTATTTGAGCTTGAATTTTAGATAGGAAACCACGTCCCAAAAGGGGAATGGGACATTCTGGTACATAAAGGAACTGATGAGTGAGGGTCCTCCCTCGAATCTGGCACTCTTGGGGTTGCAGAAAGGGTTTTAGGGTTTTATTGCCAGCTCAGACTGGTTTGAACAGCTCTAGGCTGGTTTGAACCGGTCCAAGCCGGGTGGTACAGGGCCAAACCAGTTGGAACTGGTTCAGACTGGTTGAAACCGGTCCAAGACAGTTTGAACCAGCTGAAACCAGTTGGGAAAAGTCCAGGCGGGTTCCAACATGCCCAGACCAGTTTGAACTGGCCCAGACTGGTTGGAACTGGCTCAGGCTGCTTGGAACAGGTCTAGGTTGGTTTGAACCGGTCCAAGTCGGTTGAAACGGGTCCAAGCCGGTTCGAACCGGTCTAAGCCAGTTTGAACCGGTCTAGGTCGGTTTGAACAGGTCTAGGCCAGTTTGAAATGGCCCAAGCCAGTTTGAGCAGTTCCAAGTGGGTTGGAACTGGCCCAGACTGGTTTGAACCGGTCCAAGTCCAGGGCCCCGGTGCCCTGTTACCATCAATTCTGTTGGAACCGGTTCAGACCGGTTGGAACCGGTCCAAGACAGTTTGAACCAGCTGAAACCAGTTGGGAAAAGTCCATGCGGGTTCCAACATGCCCAGACCAGTTTGAACTGGCCCAGACGGGTTGGAACTGGCTCAGACTGCTTGGAACTGCTTGGACCTGCTCCAACCTGGAGCAACTTGGAGCAGGTGCAACCTGCTTGGACCTGCTCCAACCTGTCTGGGCCAGTTCCAACCCACTTGGAACTTCTTAAACTGGCTTGGGCCATTTCAAACTGGCCTAGACCTGTTCAAACCAGCCAAGACTGGTTCAAACTGGCTTGTACTGGCACAAACCAACCTAGACCGGTTCAAACTGGCCTAGACCGGTTCGAACCGGCTTGGACCTGTTTCAACCAACCTGGACCGGTTCAAACCAGTCTAGACCTGTTCCAACCAGTCTGAGCCAGTTCCAACCAGTCTGGGCCAGTTCAAACTGGTCTGGGCAAGTTGGAACCCACCTAGACTTTTCCCAACTGGTTTCAGCTGGTTCAAACTGTCTTGGACCGGTTCCAACCGGTCTGAACCACTTCCAACTGGTTTTGGACCTGTACCACCCGGCTTGGACCGGTTCAAACCAGCCTAGACCTGTTCAAACCAGTCTGAGCTGGCAATAAAACCCTAAAAACCTTTCTGCAACCCCAAGAGTGCCAGATTGGAGGGAGGACCCGCACTCATCAGTTTCTTTATGTACTAGAATGTCCAATTTCCCTTTTGGGATGTGATTTTCTATCTCAAATTCAAGCTCAAATAGCCTTCACGCCAAAAGGGGCAGAACTGAAATTACCACTAATTGTAGTAGCTCTAAAGCCAGGTGCAAGCAGAACTGCGCATGCGTCGGTGTGGGTAGACGCACACCCATCTCACTCTTGGAACTGTTCAAACTAGTCTGAGCCAGTTCCAAGCAGTCTGGGCCAATTCAAACTGGTCTTGGGAACTTAAAATCCACCTTGACTTTTTCAAACTGCTTTGGGCTGGTTCCTACTGGCTTGGACCGGATCCAACCAGTATGAACGGGTCCCAGCAGGTCTGGGCTGCTTCCAAGTGGCACAGAGCTGTTCCAGCCGGCCTAGACCTCTTCAGCCTGGACTTGTTCAAACTGGTTTGGACCGGCACCAACTGGCCTGGACCGGTTCAAACTGGCCTAGACCAATTCCAACCGGCTTGGAGCGGTTCAAAGCAGCCTAGACCAGTACAAACCTGCCTTGACCAGTTCAAACTGGCTTGGATCAGCACAAACCTGCCTAGACCGGTTCATACTGGCCTAGACTGGTTCCAACCGCTTGGACCTGTTTCAACCGACTTGGACCGGTTCAAACCAGTCTAGACCTGTTCCAAGCAGTCTGAGCCAGTTCCAACCCGTCTGGGCCAGTTCAAACTGGTCTGGGCATGTTGGAACCCGCATGGACTTTTCCCAACTGGTATCAGCTGGTTCAAACTGTCTTGGACTGGTTCCAACCGGTCTGAACCGGTTCCAACAGAATTGATGGTAACAGGGCACCGGGGCACTGAATGTGGACCTTTCAGTACCGCATTTCCAAATCAGGCGACTGCATTTTGATCGGGAACAAAGGGAAGCGAATCTCTGAGAATCTGTTGAGAAGCACTTTACAAGGGACATAGCGATGCGGGGGGAGTGTTCAACATCTTGTAATTCAAGCACTCCACTAGGCTGTATGATAGCAAATTTCAAAAGGGCTTTCTCAGGGGACTATGGTGTCAAACTGACTGAGAACGCATTGTGAGCTGAATTGGCCAAGCCAGGTTGCGTGGCGATTTCCTGCCTCCCACCAGTAGGAATGGGACACCGTTATTTGAAGGTTAATGGGCTAAAATAGCCCGCAACTTTATTGGTTACAGGTGATGAGCGGTATTGGCTTAGGCATTGGTCCTATCTGACTATCCAGCTTCAGCCTGCTTGCTTGAAGATCCGGAAGGGTTAACACCAGCAGGGGGAGCCCTGCTGATGCACATCAACTAGGCACTCCCCCGGGGTCACCGCTCGGGGACGTACCTTGGGCCCTGGCCTCCATAGGCTTCGGACGGGGCCACACCCCTCAGAATCCTTTACTGGACTAGCCTTTAATATCCGGGGGAGGTGATGGCGCTCCTCCCCCCCATACATCTACATAACAATACCCATACCAATGCCTAACCTCCACTCGAGCAAAGCTTGCCGCCAATACTCTCAGACCTGCAACCAATCCCTAATCCCCGCAGATATGTCAGCCAACCAAACATCGTTTCCCGCATTGGAAAGATGCATGCCATCCTCGCGGTAGAGGGCCACCTTGCTGAACTGGATGTTGGCTTTTACAGGCACAAACCGGCCTAGACCGGTTCAAACTGGCCTAGACTGGTTCCAACCAGCTTGGACCTGTTTCAACCAACTTGGACCGGTTCAAACCAGCCTAGACCAGTTCCAACCAGTCTGAGCCAGTTCCAATTGGTCTGGGCATGTTGGAACCTGCCTGGACTTTTCTCCAACTAGTTTGAGCTGGTTCAAACTGGCTTGGACCGGTTTTAACCGGCTTGGAGCTGTTGCACTCAGCTTTGACCGGTTCAAACCAGCCTATACCTGTTCCAACCACTTCAAACCGGTCTGGGGAAGTTGGAATCTGCCTGGACTTTTTCAAACTGCTTTGGGCTGGTTCCTACCGGCTTGTACCGGATCCAACTGGTATGACCTGGTTCCAACAGGTCTGGGCTGGTTCCAAGTGACATAAACCTGTTCCAACCGGCTTGGCCCTGTTCCAACCAATCTGGGCCAGTTCATACCAGTCTGGGCAAGTTGGAACCCGCCTGGAATTTTTCAACTTGTTTGGTCTGGTTCCAACCATCTTGGATCGGATCTAACCATTATCAACTGTTTCCAACAGGTCTGGGCTGGTTCCAAGAGACTCCTGTTCCAACTGACCTGGACCTGTTCCAAGCAGTCTGGGCCAGTTCAAACTTTGGAGCGGCACAAACTGGCCTCGACCAGTTGTATCCATTCCTTAACCCAACAAAGAGCTGCGGCTTCAAAGTAAAACTTCAAATCTGGCAGGGAGAATCCCCCTCTTTCTTTTGAGTCCGTTAGTAGTTTATACTTAATTCTGGGTTTTCTCCCCTGCCAGATAAATCTAGATAAAATTTTCTGCCATTCTTTAAAACATTTCACATTCTCAATAATTGGGAGGACTTGAAACAAAAACAGCATCTTTGGCAATACATCCATCTTAACGACAGAAATCCGACCTATTAATGACAATTTTAAATTTGACCAAATCTCCAGATCTCTCTTGATTTCATTCCATAATTTCTCATAATTATCTTTGTATAAGTTCAAATTTTTCACCGACAAATTAACCCCCATATATTAAACTTTTTTCACAAAGACTAGGCCTGTCTTTTTTTGTAATAATTTTCTTTCCTCATTGTCCAGACTTTTCTCTAATACTTTGGTTTTGCTCTCATTTAACTTAAATCCTGCTACCTGTCTGAACTCCTGTATCATCTCCAGTGCTTTTACTGCACTGGAGTCTGAATATTGAAGCGTCAACACCAAGTCATCAGCAAAGGCTTTTAATTTATATTGTTAGGATCCTACTACTATACCTTTAATTTGTTCTTCTGTCCTTATCATACTTAACAAGACCTCAAGGACCGAGATAAAAAGCAGAGGGGAAAGTGGGCACCCTTGCCTGGTTCCCTTCTCAGTTCTAATTTCCTCCTATAGCACATTATTTTCTATAATTTTAACTTTTTGTTCATGATAAATCGCATTGATACCATTTAAGAATTCCCGACCCACACCAATACTTTCTTAATTTTGTGTCATAAAATTCCAAGATACATTGTCAAAGGCCTTCTCCGCATCAATGAACATTAACATTGCTTTACAGATTTTTTTGCTTCCAATTTTTCCATAATATCTACTATATTCCTGATATTATCTTTGATATGTCTTCCAGGCAGAAAACCTGTCTGGTTCTCATGTATATATTCTGACAAGACCTTCTTAAGCCTGTTGGCCAATATATTGGCAAAGATTTTGCAATCCGCATTAAGTAGGAAAATTGGTCTATAATTTTTGACGTTCGATCTATCTTGATCTTGTTTTGGAATCAGAGTAATATAGGCTTCCTTCCAGGTTTCGGGTGCTTTGTCCCCTCCTATAATCTTATTGCAAACTTCTAACAATGGCTGGATAAGCCAATCTTTCAATGTCTTATAGTATTTTGCTGATAAACCATCTGGTCCCGGGGCCTTGCCAAGTTGCATTAAATTTATTGTGCTTTCCACCTCCTGTCTTGTGATTAGACCATTTAGTAGGATCCTTTTACCTTTGGGAATCTTCTGCAAACCATTAGTTCTGATAAATTGCTCAATTTTAGCTTTATCTTCTTTACCCTTTTTATACAGTTGTTTATAATATTTCTTAAAGCATCTTCTTATGTCCACAGGGTTCTCTACAGACTTTCCTTCTAATACAATATTTGTAATAGTACTTGTAAAATTGCCTGCAACTTTATTGGTTACAGGTGATGAGCGGTATTGGCTTAGGCATTGGTCCTATCTGACTATCCAGCTTCAGCCTGCTTGCTTGAAAATCCGGAAGGGTTAACACCAGCAGGGGGAGCCCTGCTGATGCACATCAACTAGGCACGCCCCCGGGGTCACCGCTCGGGGGCGTGCCTTGGGCCCTGGCCTCCATAGGCTTCGGACGGGGCCACACCCCTCAGAATCCTTTACTGGACTAGCCTTCAATATCCGGGGGAGGTGATGGCGCTCCTCCCCCCCATACATCTACATAACAATACCCATACCAATGCCTAACCGCCACTCGAGCAAAGCTCACCGCCAATACCCTCAGACCTGCAACCAATCCCTAATCCCCACAGATATGTCAGCCAACCAAACATTGTTTCCCGCATCAGAAAGATGCACGCCATCCTCGAGGTATAGGATCACCTTGCTGAACTGGATGTTGGGGTGGTCAATGACCCGCCCCCCAGCGCTGCCACTCTACGAGCCACTGAGCGTTCCAGGATCTTTCTGGATTTGTTCATAGCAATAGGGCATTGGCAATCCCTCCAAGTGCGCCTTTCCAACAGTGATGAACAAATTATAACTAAATTTGGGGAAGAAATCCTCAGATCATCAAAATCATCGAAAATGTTCCACATTAAGTCCGCGCCCTTCCAGTAGGCCAAATCATTTTCACCCAGCTGAATGACAAGGGCATCCGGTGGGCCTTTCACGGCAGCTGTAGCTTTTATTGCTGGCAGAAATTCCGCCCAACGCATTCCACGGCGAGTGATCCAGGAGATTTCAACATTTTTTGGCAGATCTAACCCGCACCCCTGGCCCCGACTGACAGCACGGTTTCTGGCCCAGTGGACGTTACTATGGCCTATGATCCAAATGCGCACAACTACGTCACCTAAAAGGAAAAGAGCATAACAAGGAGGGGTCAGGGGTGATGAAAACAGTCATAAAGGCCTCCAAATGCACCCTTTAAAAGCACCTAACTTCCATTGACCCAGATCCTTTATCCTTTCAGCCAGAAGGCCTAAGTGTACTGCTGTAGTGGCTGCTCCGATCCGAAATGAGTGGGCCACAAATTCAGCTGGGGGAAAACCGCAAGCAGCAATTGCCTTACACATAACGCGTGTAAACTGATGTCTTGTAAGGCAGGAGCCATCTGCATATATGAAATATGGTCTAGGGGTATTTGGTCTCAAATATATAAATCGTCTTGCATCCTTTACTGGACATGGCCCTTTCTTTTGAGTTGCTATAAGCCGAATTAGGGCCCTTTTGCCTAGCTGATCAGTTTTTGAGTTCCGGATATGGAGAACTAGATCTGAGTGAGATAATGTCACATCCTTTAAGAGGATCCCACGTGCAACAGAATCTGGCTGGCCGTCGCAAACCACCTCGCCTATGTGCAAAGCGCCAAAAAAGGCGATGGAGTAAGCTGCTGAAAATAGGCGTGCTTCATACTTTGACCAACAAATGGCCCTTAGTTTTTTATGGATTTGACATAGGATTTCAAAGGTTATGGGTCTTCTACCATCAGTGCTGGGAGACCCCTTTGGAACCAGTTTTAAAGCGAAGAGCCCAGTCCAGAAATGTGCTAAAGGTCTCAAAGACTGCACATGCTACTGAGCATCCCATGGGCATGGCTTTATCTATAAAATACGCCCCTTCAAATTTAAAACCCAGCCAACGGAAGTCATCCGGGTGAACTGGAAGAAGACGAAAGGCAGACTCGATGTCACACTTAGCTAACAGGGCTCCCCTGCTGAATCTCTGAATAAGCTTTACCGCTTGATCAATGGATTGCATCGCTAACCGAACTTTCCCTTGTGGTATTTCCCTGTGGTATTGCATCGCTAACCGAACTTTCCCTTGGATAGGAAAGCTGGCCCAGGGATGACACGGCCGAGGATTCCCCAGATCGCGTGGGGCTAGGAGCCAGCCGAGGTCGGAAGTGGCTTTCCAAAATGGCCTTCGGAAGGTAGTTTTGATGTGGAATTGAGCCTCCTAGTTTGAGTCTCAGTAACTAGGGACCCAGGAGGCCACCCAGATCAATTTCCCTATATTGATCAGTGGTATAATGCTTGCATGGAAAATCCTCCATGGATGAAGAAGTGCAAGGGCGACACCTGCCAGATTTTAGCAGTGAAGCAGGAGGCCCGGAAAAACATAGATAAACCCAAGCCTCCAGCCCCTGCTAAGAAGATATACCAGGACCACCCAGAAGAGGAGGGTTTTCTCCTTCCGCCTCCATATGCCCCTTCGGCCAGGATTGTGCCATCACCTCCAGTCCAGCCACCCACTGCAGTCCAATTATTACAAGTTCCATCTAGCATCCCGGATGTGCCCTCCTTGCCAGCCCCAGTGCTGGTACGAAATCAAGCCCAAATTGCCCAAGTCCAAGCCCCCCAGGAAAAAGAGATTATAGGCACTTCAGCATTGGAGGCCCTGGGAGCTGTGGGAGGAGCCAAACCTGGAGAAGTGGCCACAACTCCAACCCGGGGTGACATCAGCAACCCCGTAGGCACTCCAGCCACTGAGAGAAAGTCAGGCCTGTGGGCAGTTGTGGATGCAAGAAGTGATACTGGAAAGAAGTTAGTAATAAAGATGAAGGAAAGTGATGCAACAGGGGCCCCCCATGCCACCTCCATCTAAAGGAGGACATTACCTTCGTAACAAGAAGGGGGGCCAAGCCCTGATGTTCCTTTTGAGAGCGGTTTTGGGACCCCAAGAGCCCGGGCCCACAGATGATCAGGGCCGACCCACCGGTGCATGGCCCACACATTCTGTTACCATGCAATATGTGCCATTCACTACTACTGACCTGCTAAGCTGGAAAACCCATACCCTGCCTTTTTCTGAAAAGCCTTAAGCTATGCAGGACCTAATGGCCTCAATCATAGTAACCCATCTGCCCACGTGGCAAGATTACAGGCATCTTTTAATGACCCTCTTCACTGCTGAGGAAAGAAGGAGAATAGATGCCACTGCAGAGCGAAACCTAATGGGGGAGGTGCCACCAGCAGAGCCAAACCCCGATGGATGGGTCTGTACTCGGTACCCCCTTGCAGATTCAAACCGGCTTGGACCGGCACCAACCGGCCTCCACCGGTTCAAACTGGTATCAACAGGTTCCAACTGGCTTGGACCGACACAAACCGGCCTAGATCGCTTCAAAAACCGGCCTAGACCAGTTGAAACCAGCTTGGATCGGCACAAATGGGCTTTGACCGGTTCAAACCAGCCTAGACCTGTTGAAACCAGTCTGGGCCAGTTCCAACCAGTCTGGGCCAGTTCAAACTGCTCTGGGCAAGTTGCAACCCGCTTGAACCTTTTCCAACTGGTTTGGGCTGGTTCCAACCGGCTTGGACGGGACCCAACTTGTATGAACTGGTTCCGACTGGGCTGGGCTGGTTCCAGGTGACATAGTCCTGTTCAAACCGGCCTGGACCTGTTCTAACCAGCTTGGGCCAGTTTCATTTGACCTGCACCTGCTCCAACTGGCCTGGACCTGCTCCAACCTGTATGGGCCTCTTCCAACCCACTTGGAACTGCTCAAACTGACTTGGGCCATTTCAAACCAGCCTAGACCGGTTGAAACTGGCCAAGACCAGTTCAAACTGGTCTTAGAATCATAGAGTTGGAAGAGACCACAAGGGCCATCGAGTCCAACCCCCTGCCAAGCAGGAAACACCATCAGAGCACTCCTGACATATGGTTGTCAAGCCTCTGCTTAAAGACCTCCAAAGAAGGAGACTCCACCACACTCCTTGGCAGCAAATTCCACTGTCGAACAGCTCTTACTGTCAGGAAGTGCTTCCTAATGTTTAGGTGGAATCTTCTTTCTTGTAGTTTGGATCCATTGCTCCGTGTCCGCTTCTCTGGAGCAGCAGAAAACAACCTTTCTCCCTCCTCTATGTGACATCCTTTTATATATTTGAACATGGCTATCATATCACCCCTTAACCTCCTCTTCTCCAGGCTAAACATGCCCAGCTCCCTTAGCCGTTCCTCATAAGGCATCGTTTCCAGGCCTTTGCCCATTTTGGTTGCCCTCCTCTGGACACGTTCCAGTTTGTCAGTGTCCTTCTTGAACTGTGGTGCCCAGAACTGGACACAGTACTCCAGGTGAGGTCTGACCAGAGCAGAATACAGTGGCACTATTACTTCCCTTGATCTAGATGCTATACTCCTATTGATGCAGCCCAGAATTGCATTGGCTTTTTTAGCTGCCGCGTCACACTGTTGGCTCATGTCAAGTTTGTGGTCAACCAAGACTCCTAGATCCTCTTCACATGTACTGCTCTCAAGCAAGGTGTCCCCCATCTTGTATTTGTGCCTCTCATTTTTTTTGCCCAAGTGCAATACTTTACATTTCTCCCTGTTAAAATTCATCTTGTTTGTTTTGGCCCAGTTCTCTAATCTGTCAAGGTCGTTTTGAAGTGTGATCCTGTCCTCTGGGGTGTTAGCCACCCCTCCCAGTTTGGTGTCATCTGCAAATTTGATCAGGATGCCCTTGAGTCCATCATCCAAGTCGTTGATAAAGATGTTGAATAAGACCGGGCACAAGACAGAACCCTGTGGCACCCCACTAGTCACTCTTCTCCAGGATGAAGAGGAACCATTGATGAGCACCCTTTGGGTTCGGTCAGTCAGCCAGTTACAAATCCACTGAGTGGTAGCATAGTCAAGACCGCATTTTACCAGCTTCTTTACAAGAATATCATGGGGCACCTTGTCAAATGCCTTGCTGAAATCAAGGTAGGCTACATCCACTGCGTTCCCTTCATCTACCAGGCTTGTAATTCTGTCAAAAACGAGATCAGGTTAGTCTGACATGACTTATTTTTCAGAAATCCATGCTGACTATTGGTGATCACAGCATTCCTTTCTAGGTGCTCACAGACTGTTTGCTTAATGATCTGCTCCAGAATCTTCCCTGGTATTGATGTCAGACTGACTGGGCGGTAATTATTTGGGTCCTCTCTTTTCCCCTTTTTGAAAATAGGGACAACATTTGCCCTCCTCCAGTCTGCCGGGACTTCGCCTGTTCTCCAGGAATTCTCAAAGATGACTGCCAGTGGTTCTGAGATCACATCTGCCAGTTCTTTTAATACTCTTGGATGCAGTTCATCTGGCCCTGGAGACTTGAATACATCTAAACTAGCCAAGTATTCTTGTACTATCTCCTTAGTTATTCTGGGCTGTGTTTCCTCTGCTGAATCATTTGCTCCAAATTCTTCAGGTCGGGCATTGTTTTCTTTATCGGAGAACTTGATCAGTTCAAACTGGCTTGGACCGATTCAAATGGGCCCAGACCGGTTACAACCAGTCTGGGCCAGTTCCAACCCTCCTGAACCTTTTGCAAATAGTTTGAGCTGGTTCAAACTGGCTTGGACCGGTTCTAATCGGCTTGGACCTGTTGCACTCAGCTTCGACTGGTTCAAACCAGCCTAGACCTGTTCCAACCACTTCAAACCGGTCTGGGGAAGTTGGACTCTGTCTTGACTTTTTCAAACTGGTTTGGGCTGGTTCCTACCGGCTTGTAGCGGATCCAACTGGTAGAACCTGGTTCCCACAGGTCTGGGCTGGTTCCAAGTGACATAAACCTGTTCCAACCGGCTTGGCCCTGTTCCAACCAATCTGGGCCAGTTCATACCGGTCTGGGCAAGTTGGAACCCGCCTGGACTTTTTCAGTTCGTTTGGTCTGGTTCCAACCAGCTTGGATCGGATCTAACCGTTATCAACTGTTTCCAACAGGTCTGGGCTGGTTCCAAGAGACATACTCCTGTTCCAACCGACCTGGACCTGTTCCAAGCAGTTTGAGCTAGTTCCAACCAGTCTGGGCCAGTTCAAACTTTGGACCGGCACAAACTGGCCTAGTCCTGTTCAAACCGGCTTGGACCGGTACAAACCGGCCTTATCCGTTTCAAACAGGCCTAGATCTGTTCAAACCGACTTGGACTGGTTCCACCCGGTCTGAAAAGGATCCAACTGGCTTAGACCTGTTCCAACCTGCTTGGACTGGTTCAAAACAGTCTAGACCTGTTCCTGTGTAAGCTAGTTCCAACCACTTTGGGCTAGTTCAAACTAGTCTGGGCAAGTTAGAACCCCCCTGGACCTTTTCTAACTGGTTTGGGCTGGTTCCTACAGGTCAGGGCTGCTTCCAAGTGACACAGAACTGTTCTAAGCGGCCTCAAACTGTTCAAACTGGCTTGGGCCGGTTCAAACTGGCTTGGACCGCCACAAACCAGCCTAGACCTGTTCCAAGCAGTCTGAGTTAGTTCAAACCAGTCTGGGCAGTCCAGTTCAAAATGGTCTGGGCAAGTTGGAACCTGCCAGAACCTTTTCCAACTGGTTTGGGCTGGTTCCAACCGACTTGGACTGGACCCAACTGGTATGAACTTGTTCTAACTGGCCTGGACCTGTTCTAACCAGCTTGGACCAGTTTCAAATGACCGGCACCAGCTCCAACTGGCCTGGACCTGCTCCAACCTGTCTGGGCCAGTTCCAACCCACTTGGAACTTTTCAAACCGGCCTAGACCGGTACAAACCTGTCTGAGCAAGTTCCAACCAGTCTGGGCCATTTCAAACTGGTCTGGGCAAGTTAGAACCCGCCTGGACTTTTCCCATCTGATTTGAGCTGGTTCAATCCCTCTTGGACCTTCTCAAACTGGCCTAGACTTGTTCAAACCAGCTTGGAACTGCTCAAACCGGCCTAGACCGGTTCAAACAGGCCTAGACCAGTTGAAACCAGCTTGGACCGGCACAAATCGGATTTGACTGGTTCACACCAGCCTAGACCGGTTGCAACCAGTCTGAGCTAGTTCCAACCAGTCTTGGCCAGTTCAAACTTGTCTGGGCAAGTTGCAACCCACCAGAACCTTTTCCAACTGGTTTGGGCTGGTTTGAACCAGCTTGGACTGGATCCAACTAGTATGAACTGGTTCTAACCGGTCTGGGCTGGTTCCAAGTGACATAGACCTGTTCCGTCCGGCCTGGACCTGTTCTAACCAGCTTGGGCCAGTTTCAAACCACCTGCACCTGCTCCAACTGGCCGGGACCTGCTCCAACCTGTCTGGGCCGGTTCCAGTCCACTTGGACCTGTTCAAACTAGCTTGGGCCGGTTCAAACTGGCTTGGACCAGCACAAACTGGCCTAGACCAGTTCAAACAAGCCTATACCGGTTCAAACCAGCTTAGACCGGCTCAACCCGGCCTAGACTTGTTCAAACTGGCTTGGACCTGTTCCAACCAGCTTGGGCCAGTTTCAAATGACCTGCACCTGCTCCAACTGGCCTGGACCTGCTCCAACCTGTCTGGGCCAGTTCCAACCCACTTGGAACTGTTCAAACTGGCTTGGGGCAGTTCAAACCAGCCTCATTGGGTTCGAACCAGCTTGGACTGGTTCAAACCGGTCTGAACAGCTTCCAACCGGCTTGGAGCGGTTCAAACCAACCTAGACCTGTTCCAACCAGTCTGGAACAGTTTAAACTGGTCTGGACAAGTTGGAACCCCCCGGGACCTTTTCCAACTGGTTTGTGCTGGTTCCAATCGGCTTGGACCGGATCCAACTGGTATGAACTTGTTCCAACCAGCCTGGACCTGTTCCAACTAGCTTGGGCCAGTTTTAAATGACCTGCACCTGCTCCAACTGGCCTGGACCTGCTCCAACCTGTTTGAGCCAGTTCCAACCCACTTGGAACTGTTCAAACTGGCTTGGGCTGGTTCAACCTGACCTAGACATGTTCAACCCGGCCAAGACCGGTTCACACTGGCTTGAAATGGCACAAACTGGCCTAGACCGGTTCAAACCGGCCTAGACTGTTCCAACTGACTTGGACCTGTTTCAAGCGACTTGGACCGTTTCAGTTCAAAGTGGCCTAGACCGGTTGAAACTGGCCAAGACTGGTTCAAACCGGCCTCGACCGGTTCAAACCAGCTTGGACTGGTTCAAACCAGTCTGAACAGCTTCAAACCGGCTTGGAGCGGTTCAAACCAACATAGACCTGTTCCTACCAGTCTGGACCAGTTCAAGCTGGTCTGGGCAAGTTGGAACCCGCCCAACTGGTTTGTGCTGGTTCCAACTAGCTTGGACCGGATCCAACTGGTATGAACTTTTTTCAACTGGTCTGGGCTGTTTCAAAGTGACATAGACCTGTTCCAACCGGCCTGGATCTTTTCTAACCAGCTTGGGCCAGTTTCAAACCACCTGCAGCTGTTCCAATTGGCCTGGACCTGCTCCAACCTGTCTGGGCCAGTCCCCATCCACTTGGACATGTTCAAATTGGCTTTGGCCAGTTCAAACTGGCTTGGACCAGCAGAAACTGGCTTGGACCAGCACAAACCGGCCTACACCATTTCAAACCAGCTTGGACCGGTTCAAACCGGTCTAGACCTGTTCCAACCAGTTTGGGCCAGTTTCAAATGACCTACACCTGCTCCAACTGGCCTGGACCTGCTCCAACCTGTCTGGGCAAGTTCCAACCCACTTGGAACTGTTCAAACTGGCTTGGGCTGGTTCAAACCAGCCTAGACCAGTTCAAACAGGCCTAGACCAGTTGAAACCAGACTTGGACCAGCACAAATCGGCTTTGACCGGTTCAAACCAGCCTAGACCTGTTGCAACCAGTCTGAGCTAGTTCCAACCAGTCTTGGCCAGTTCAAACTTGTCTGGGCAAGTTGCAACCCACCAGAACCTTTCCCAACTGGTTTGGGCTGGTTTGAACCAGCTTGGACTGGATCCAACTGGTATCAACTGGTTCTAACCAGTCTGGGCTGGTTCCAAGCGACATAGACCTGTTCCAACCCGCCTGGACCCGTTCTAACCAGCTTGAGCCAGTTTCAAATGACCTACAACTGCTCTAACTGGCCTGGACCTGCTCGAGGCTATCTGGAATTGTTCAAACTGGCTTGGGCTGGATCAAACCAGCCTAGACCTGTTTAAACCAGTTTGGACCAGTTGTTTATAATATTTCTGAAAGCATCTTCTTATGTCCACAGGGTTCTCTACAGAATTTCCTTCCGATACAATATTTGTAATAGTACTTTGTTTTTGCCTCTTTTTTAGTTGTCAAGCTAAAAGTTTCCCACATTTATTTGCAGATTCAAAGTTCCTTTGTCTCATCATCCTTAATTTCCATTCTATTTCTTGATTGATAATATGTGAATAATGGTCTGTAAAACTTTAATTTCCTTTTGTATCTGCAAATTCTTTGGATTGCTTCTAAGAATCTTTTCTTTATCTTTTAGTTGCTCCAAGATTTTTTTCCCCCATTCTGTATCTTTCTCCTAATTGAAGTTTGTTGAATGAGGAATCCTCTCATTACTGCTTTGCTGGCGTCCCAAATAACCCTTGTTTCCACTCCCTGGTTCATATTAATCTCAAAATAGTCCTTTAGGGCTTTTTGGGCCTTATTTACAATTTGCTCGCTCCTCAACAAATCATCATTCATTCTCCACTTGAAAGATCCCTGTAAGGACATTTTAACTTCCATAAAAACTGCATTATGGTCTCAGCAAGTTTTAGGGCAAATTTCCCTTTTTGAGACTTTAGGAACCAAGTCTCTGGATATCCATAAATAGTTCTCGAGAATTATTGATTTGCATCTGAATAAAATGTGAAGTCTTTTTCAGTTGGATTTCTGCCTCTCCATATGTCTGACAGATCAAATTTGTCAGTTATTTCAAAAAAAGTCTTAGGTAGTCTGCCAGCATTCAATATTTTCTGTCTCTGAGTTCTATCCATTAAAGTAGATGCCACTCCATTCAGATCTCCCATTAAAATTAATTTATAATCCAAATGTTCCAAAAGACTCGTTTCCAAGTTCTTAACGAATTCAGCTTTGCCATCATTTGGTGCATAGATTCCCAATAACAAGTATTTTTCGCCTTGTGCTGTGATTTCCACTGCAATGTATCTTCCCTCCTCATCTTTAAAAATCAATTTTGGATTCCATTTTTCCTTAACATAGAAAACCATTCCTCTTTTTTTCACTTTGTCCGAAGAAATAAATTCTTGGCCAAGCTTCTTATTCAATAAGATTTTTCTATGGAATCTTGTAATGTGTGTTTCCTGTAAACAAATTACGTCCAAATTCTGCTTTGCCAAAGCATGATAAACCTGCATACTTTTCTGAGGGGAATTAAAGACATTTACATTCCAAGAATAAATTCTCAAAGCCATGATGGTAAATTAAGGGGTCGCTGCTCCCGCCCCTGGCAACTGTGGGCTTTCCAGTCCAAGTTCAGTCCAGTCCGAGTTCTTTTGCAGAAATCTGTCTTTCTCTCCAACCATCTTAATTCTTTGCTTTCTTCCTCCGAATTTGAAGGAAAGACCCTCCGGGAATTCCCACCTGAAAAAAACATTTTCCCTCAGAATTCTTGTCAATTCTGTGTAATTGGATCTCAGGCTCAAAAAGTGTTTAGGAATCTCTTTAAAAAGGACGATGGCTTTATCCTGGATTTTTAAAACCTTTTTTTTTAGTGCAGTCCCAAAGTGGTATCGGTTTGGTCTTAAAGACCACTATACAGTCATAGGTAATTTTTGAATCTTTTTTGGGACCGAATCTATAGGCCTTTTCTATCCAAGAATCAACTTTGTCTTTTTTCAAATCCCACCACGCCACAAATTGATCTATCATCCACTCCCTGAGTCAATCCTCTTCCTGTTGTGGCACACCTCTCAATCTTAAATGAGATTCCCGTTCCCTCATCTGAAGAAATGCAATCAAATTTGAATTTTCATAGTGTAGTGTTTCCAAATCAGTCAGCAGCGCGCCCCGGGCTTCAGGCAGATATCCGCAAGCCTGGGGAGATCGGCAGGAGTTCCCACCAGGCTCCCAAGGCTTGCGAATAGCAGCCTGTTCTGGGGGTTGGGGTTGGGGGAAGCTCGGGCTTCCCCCCCAAAAAAACCTAGGTGCGCCCTATGGGCCGGTGCACCCTATAGGGTGAGAAATACGGTATTCTTAACTTTGGTGTCTAACAACTCCGTTTCCAATTTGGTTTTTCCTCCATTTCTCCTATCAATCTTATATAATTCATTAATTTGATAATATTGTAGCCAATTCACTTTATCTTTAATTTGTTCAAATGGTTTTGGTAATTGGTAAGGCTTCCAAACTCTATTCTTTCTAAAAAAAAACCTCATAAAAACTCATAAAAAAACAAGAAACATTGTCAAAGGCCTTCTCAGCATCTATGAACATTAACATTGCTTTGCAATTTCTTTTGACTTCCAACCTTTCTAATACATCAATTATATTCCTAATATTATCTTTCATTTGTCTCCCAGGCAGAAAGCCTGCCTGGTCCTTATGAATATAATCTGTTAAAACCTTTTTCAATCTGTTGGCCAATATATTTGCAAAAATTTTATAATCCACATTGAGTAATGAAATCGGTCTGTAGTTTTTCACATCAGATCTATCTTGTTCTGATTTTGGAATCAGAGTTATAAACGCATCTTTCCAAGTTTCAGGTGCTTTGTCCCCTCTTAGAATCTTATTGCACACATCTGCTAACAGCTGGATTAACCAATCTTTCAAAGTTTTATAATATTTTGCAGAAAGACCATCTGGTCCTGGGGCTTTGCCTAGCTGCATCTGATTTATTGCTATCTCAACCTCCTGTCTTGTAATCATACCATTAAGTAGGAACCTTTTATACTTGGGATTTTTTTGCATTTCATTTACTTTAAGAAATTGCTCAATTTTATCTTTATCTTCTTTACCTTTTTTATACAGCTGTTTAAAATATTTCTGAAAACATTTTCTTATATCTGCATGGTTTCCCACAGATTTTCCTTCAGATACAATATTTGTCTTTTTTAATTGCCAAGCCAACAATTTCCCACATTTATTTGCAGATTCAAAATTTCTCTGTTTCATCATTTTTATTTTCCATTCTATTTCTTTATTAATAATTTGAGAAAATTGGATCTGTAAAGCTTTAATTTCTTTTTGAATCAGTTGACTCTTAGGCATTGATCTTAAACTCTTCTCTTTATCTTTTATTTCAGACAGAATGTTTTCTTTTTTCTCATTCTGTATCTTTTTCTTTATTGAATTTTGTTGTATGAGGAAACCTCTCATTACAGCCTTACCTGCGTCCCAAATGACTCTTGTTTCCACCTCTGTGTTCATATTTATTTCAAAGTAATCTTTTAGAGTCGTTTGGGCCTTAGTAATAATCTGTTCATTCCTCAACAACTCATCATTCATTTGCGTTTTTCTCCAAGAATCTCTCTTTCTCCCCAACAGTCCTAATTCTTTGCTTTCTCCCTTGAAATTTGAAAGAGAGACCTTCCAGGAACTCCCACCTAAAAAAGATGTTTTTCCTTCTTAGAGCACTGGCCAATTCTGTGTAGTTATTTCTCAGGGCCAAAAAATGTTCAGGATCTCTTTAAACAAAATAATCAATTTGTCCTCAATCTTTAAACTTTTTTTGTAGTGGTGGCCTAAAATAATATCTCTTTGCTCTTTGGTCTTAAAAATTACCATACAGTCATGTGTAATCTTACAGTCCTTTTTTGCTCCAAATCTATAGGCCTTATCAATCCAGGAGTTTCCTTCTTCTTTTGGAATAATAATAATAATAATAATTTATTATTTGTACCCCGCCCATCTGGCTGGGTTTCCCCAGCCACTCTGGGCGGCTTCCATAGAAACAAAAAAATACAGTAAAATATCACAGATTAAAAGCTTCCCTGAACAGGGCTGCCTGGAAGATCCCCACAAGCTGAAAATTCATCAATTAGCCAGTCCTTCAAATTGTCCTGCTCTTTCTGTGGTACCCTTCTCAGTCTCAAATGGCTTTCCCTCTCTTTCAACTGTAGAAATGCAATTGAATTTGAGGCTTCTTGCTGTGTTCTCTCCAGGTCAGAAACTCTCACAGTTTCCAGTTGCGTCAATCTTAGTTCATGACCTGATATATCTGTCTTGTTGTTGTTTAGTCGTGTCCGACTCTTCGTGACCCCATGGACCAGAGCACACCAGGCACTCCTGTCTTCCACTGCCTCCTGCAGTTTGGTCAAACTCATGCTGGTAGCCTCGAGAACACTGTCCAACCATCTCGTCCTCTGTCATCCCCTTCTCCTTGTGCCCTCCATCTTTCCCAACATCAGGGTCTTTTCCAGGGAGTCTTCTCTTCTCATGAGGTGGCCAAAGTATTGGAGCCTCAGCTTCATGGACCCTTCATGGATCACTGCTTCCCCTTCATGGATCACTGCCATGCCGTGGCGAAGGGGCTTGAAAAACTCAGAGAAGCTATGAACTATGCCAAGCAGGGCATCCAAGATGGACAGGTCATAGTGGAGAGTTTTAACCAAACGTGATCCACCTAGAGGAGGAACCGGCAAGCCACTCCAGTATCCCTGCCAAGAAAACTCCATGGACAAAGACAACAGGCATATCTGTCTTAACTCCTTTCAACTCTTGTCTTAAATCTGCAAAGTCTTTTTTTAATTCCTGTATGGTCTGTTGATTGCCTCTTACTTCTGTTTTAATTTCCTGTAGCAGTTGCATCACAGACTCTTCAAAAGTTGGAGCCTTAGAGCCCCTCCTTTGCTTTGTTTTCTCTGCCTTTTCTCCTTTCTCTCCCCCATCCATGGCTTTTTATTTTTTATCCAAGGTCAGTCTCTCTCTTTTTTAAAAAATAATTTTTATTAAGTTTCATATTTCCAAATTAAACACATCAAATCAATTAGTCCAAATTATAACAATACATATCATATAATCCAATTGTTTTCCAAATTATAAATTTTTGTGGGGGATACCAATGCTTCTTGATTGGCAGGAGTCCAATCCTCAAATATTTGTTCTGCTTCCATATTAAGAATGATGTTTCCAGTCTCCTCTTCTCAATACTTGTCATTACTCATTTTCCTTTCCATTTTCCTCCGATATGCTCCGCAAGTGGGTTGAAAAAGACAGTCTTATTTGTATTTCTGTGTGGGCTTTGTGCTGCTCTCTCGTAAATCACTCTCCTCCAACAGTCCTTTCCGCTCGAGCAAGTAATCGCCATTTTTGTCATTCCGATGAAATACAGTCTAGAAACTCGCTCTTTAGCTTTTCCGACCTGTTGCATCGTAAATTAGTCTTTTTCCAGGAGGGCTGCCCCTTCCAGTTCGCAATCTCCTCGAAAATAATATATCTTCAGCTCGCCCTCCCCAAGACCAACTCCAGCAACACAGGTCTCTTATCAAGTCTCCATTCTTACTGCGTCACAAGAGAGAGCCCTTCTTCTTTCCAAATCCTTCACAGAGTAAAACCTTTAAGTTCATAATTATTCCCACACAATTCATTTTTAGTCCCATTTGCAATTAATTTCTGTGACGGATCTTCAGAGGGAGGGTTATTAGTAATCACATAGAGCAAAAGAAATAAAAAGTCGTCCCCCCCCCTTAGTTCCGGCATTCCAATCCACATACCATATTTGTAGTGCTTTGATGTAATATTCCATTTCGGTCCGTCTCAGTCTTCTTCCTTTCAGTGGTAAAATTATTAGCAGATAAAAACCTCCTGCCTCTCTTGAAGCATGTGCGTTATCTTTCCCAATTTTTTCCCTTTTAAGTAACGCAACTAGTTTCGCACCTGGAAGCAGTTTCGGAGGAGTTCCGTGGCCCGCCGAGGGTTGTGCACTCAGTGCCTCACCCCCTCCTGCTTCTGAACATGGGGGTGATTTATGGCAACAGCGGGTGAAAACAGCATCTCTCCCCCCTGGAGAGATGAAGGGAGACTGATATACTCCCCATAATCAGCCTCTAATTACCTCGTGCAAGCTGGATAGATGTTAATATCTGCCATCTTCCAAGGCGCCCCTAGCGGCCCCATCCAAGGTCAGTCTCAGTCACAAGGGGGAGATAAGGAGGCAGACAGATTCCCTCCACGAGCCTCAATATAAAAGTCAGCAATATCTCCTTTCCCAAATTTCCATTTACCCCCTTTTACTCCTCAAATGGAGCTCCCCCCAAAATACTGTCAGTGCTCAGTTTCGCAGGGTTCTTAAAGTCAAAAAAATTCACCCCCCCTTCCCCCTGCAGAAGAGGGGTTTTGAGGTTGGCTTGCAAACTTTCTACCAGTCTTATTCCCAATTAAGGCTTTGGTCCACGATAACCGATTCTCCTTTAATTCAGCGAAAGGGATCAACCTCCGTTTTTAAATCCCTTTGTGTCCCCAAAATAGCCTGATTTAAACTTTGTCTTTTACTCACAGTTCCGGTTTTTTGTGTGTCCTTTTTTTTGGAGGAATTGACCGCTCACGATCACCAGACTCGGAGCTTTGCACTGTGAAGGAAGTGAGTTGTTTCTGCTATGACGTGTCTCCAACCCCACTCGCTCTTGGGGCTCTTTAAGAGCTTACTGGGGACTGGGGGAGTTGCCAGAAGGCACCCACCGAAACACCAGATCCTCAGAACGCTTGGTCTGAGGATTTTTTCAGCCGAAATAGCTCCCGTCTGCCATTACTGGAAGTTGGTCCAAGCCAGTTTGAACAGGTCTAGGCTGGTTTGAACTGGTCGAGGCTGGTTTCTGCTGCTCCAAACCAGTTTGAACCTTTCTAGGCCAGTTGATGCCGGTTCAAGCCGGTTTGAACAGGTCTAGGTCCGTTTGAACCAGCCGATGCCGGTTTGAACCAGTCTAGGCCGGTTTGTGCCGGTCCAAGTCGGTTTGAACAGGTCTAGGCTGGTTTGAGCCGACCCAAGCCAGTTGGAACAGTACCAGACAGCTTTGAGCAGATCCAGGCCGGTTGGAACAGGTCTATGTCACTTGGAACCAGCCCAGAGCGGTTGGAACTGGTCCATACTGGTTGGAACTAGCTCAGATTGGTTTGAACAGGTCTAGGCCGGTTTGAACCAGTCGATGCCGGTTTGAACTGGTCAAGGCCAGTTTATGCCAGTTCAAGCCAGTTTGAACCGGTCTAGGCCGGTTTATGCCGGTTCAAGCCAATTTGAACCGGTCTAGGCTGGTTTTCACCGGTCTGGGCCTGTTTGTGCTGACCCAAGCTGGTTTGAGCCGACCCAAGTCAGTTGGAACAGTTCCAGACAGCTTTGAGCAGCCCAAGCCAGTTGGAACCAGCCCAAACCAGTTGGAAAAGGTTCAGGCTGGTTCAAACTTGCCCAGACCAGTTTGAACTGGTCCAAGCCAATTTGGGCCAGTCCAAGCTGGTTTCAACTGGTCTAGGCCAGTTTGAACTGGTCTAGGCTGGTTTGTGTTGGTCCAAGCCAGTTTGAACCAGTCGTGGCTGGTTTGTGACAGTTCAAGCCGGTTTGAAATGTCTAGACTGGTTTGAACTGGTCTAGGCCAGTTTCTGCCGGTTCAAGCGGGTTTGCACAGGTCTAGGCTGGTTTGAAGCGGTCTAGGCCTCTTTCCCCCTTCATGGATCACTGCCTTGCCGTGGCGAAGGGGCTTGAATAACTCAGAGAAGCTATGAACTATGTACCCAAGATGGACAGGTCATAGTGGAGAGTTTTGACCAAACGTGATCCACCTGGAGGAGGAACCGGCAAGCCACTCCAGTATCCCTGCCACGAAAACTCCATTGACAAAGAGAACAGGCATATAAAAGTTATGATGCTGGAAGATGAGCCCCTCAGGTCGGAAGGCGTCCAACATGCTATAGGGGAAGAGCGGAGGACAAGTACAAGTAGATTCAGAGCTGATGAAGCGACTGGGCCAAAGCCGAAAGGATGCTCAGTTGCGGATATACCTGGAAGCGAATGGAAAGTCCAATGCTGTAAAGAAAAATATTGCATAGGAACCTGGAATGTAAGAACCATGAACCTGGGTAAGTTGGATGTGGTCAAAAATGAGATGGCAAGAATATATATTGACATCCTGGGCATCAGTGAACTAAAATGGATGAGAATGGGCGAATTCAGTTCGGATGACCATCATATCTACTACTCGGGCAAGAATCCCGTAAAAGAAATGGAGTGGCCCTCATAGTCAACAAAAGAGTGGCAAGAGCTGTACTGGGATGCAATCTCAAAAATGATAGAATGATCTCGATATGAATCCAAGGCAGACCTTTTAACATCACAGTAATCCAAGTTTATGCACCAACTACTGGTGCTGAAGAAACAGAAATTGACCAGTTCTATGAAGACTTACAACACCTTATAGAAGTGAAACCAAAGAAGGATTTTCTTCTCATTATAGGGGATTGGAATGCTAAAGTAGGGAGTCAAGAGATAAAAGGAACAACTGGCAAGTTTGGCCTTGGAGTTCAAAACAAAGCAGGGCAAAGGCTAATAGAGTTCTGTCAAGAGAACAAGCTGGTCATCACAAACACATTTTTCCCACAACACGAGAGACGACTCTACACATAGACATCACCAGATGGGCAGCATCAAAATCAGATTGATTACATTCTCTGCAGCCAAAGATGGAGAAGCTCTATACAGTCAGCAAAAACAAGACCTGGAGCTGACTGTGGCACAGATCATCAGCTTCTTATAGCAAAATTCAAGCTTAAACTGAAGAAAGTAGGAAAAACCACTGGGCCGGTAAGATACAATCTACCGTATTTTTTGCCCTATAGGGCGCACCGGCCCATAGGGCACACTTATTTTTTGGGAGGGGAAATAAAGGGGGGGGATTATATCCCCCCCCAAGCCCCAAAGAGCAAAGAAGCCAAAGATGGATCCCGCTAGCGGTCCTGGCTTTGTTTTTAGCCTTCGTTTTGCGCAACCTCGCCATCGCTCCCGGAGCTTGCGGGGCTGGGGAAGCCCGAGCTTCCCCCAACCCCAGCCTCCAGAATGGGTCTGGGAGCGAAGGCGAGGTTGTGCAACCTCGCCATCGCTCCCGGAGCTTGCGAGGCTGGGGACAGGGGAAGCCCGAGCTTCCCCTGACCCCAGCCCCCAGAACGGGTCCTTGCCATCGCTCCCGGAGCTTGCTGCTATCCAAAGCCCAGGGAGCGCGGCGCTGTAGCGCGGGAAGTCGCGCTGGGCTCCCAAGGCTTGCGGAGAGCTGCCCGAAGCCCGGGGTGCGGGCTGCAGGCTGCTGTCTGCAAGCCTTGGGAGCCCGGTGGGAACTCCCGCCGGGCTCCAAAGGCTTGCGGATAGCTTCCTGAAGCCTGGAGAGCGGGAGGCGTCCGTGCGCACTGACCCCTCTCACTCTCCAGGCTTCAGCGAAAGCCTGCATTCGCCCTATTGGACGCACACACATTTCCCCTTCATTTTTGGAGGGGAAAAAGTGTGTCCTATAGGGCGAAAAATACGGTAAATCAAATCCCTTATGAATACACAGTGGAAGTGAGGAACAGGTTTAAGGATTTAGATTTGGTGGACAGAGTGCCTGAAGAACTATGGATAGAGGCTTGCAACATTATACAGGAGGCAGCAACGAAAACCATCCCAATGAAATGGAAATGCAAGAAAGCAAAGTGGCTGTCCAACGAGGCCTTACAAATAGCGAGGGAGAGAAGGCAAGCAAAATGCAAGGGAGATAGTGAAAGATACAGGAAATTGAATGCAGATTTCCAAAAAAATAGCAAGGAGAGACAAGAAGGCCTTCTTAAACAAGCAATGCAAAGAAATAAAGGAAAACAACAGAAAGGGAAGAACCAGAGATCTGTTCAAGAAAATTGGAGATATGAAAGGAACATTTTGTACAAAGATTACCATAATAAAGGACGAAAGTGGTAAGGACCTAACAGAAGCAGAAGACATCAAGAAGAGTTGGCAAGAATACGCAGAGGAATTATACCAGAAAGATATGGATGGCTCGTACACCCCAGGTAGTGTGATTGCTGACCTTGAGCCAGACATCCTGGAGAGTGAAGTCAAATGGACCTTAGAAAGCACTGCTAATAACAAGGCCAGTGGAAGTGATGGTATTCCAGCTGAACTATTTAAAATTTTAAAAGATGATGCTGTTAAGGTGCTACACTCAATATGCCAGCAAGTTTTGAAAACTCAGCAGTGGCCAGAGGATTGGAGAAGATCAGTTTACATTCCAATCCCAAAGAAGGGCAGTGCCAAAGAATGCTCCAACTACCGCACAATTGCACTCATTTCACATGCTATCAAGGTTATGCTTAAAATTCTACAAGGCAGGCTTAAGCAGTATGTGGACCGAGAACTCCCAGAAGTGCAAGCTGGATTTCAAAGTGGCAGAGGAACCAGAGACCATGAGCTGGATTATGGAGAAAGCTAGAGAGTTCCAGAAAGACATCTACTCCTGCTTCATTGACTATGCAAAAGCCTTTGACTGTGTCAACCACAGCAAACTATGGCAAGTTCTTAAAGAAATTGGAGTGCCTGATCACCTTATCTGTCTTCTGAGAAATCTCTATGTGGGACAAGAAGCTACAGTTAGAACTGGATATAGAACAACTGATTGGTTCAAAATTGGGAAAGGAGAACGACAAGGCTGTATATTGTTTCCCTGCTTATTTAACTTATATGCAGAATTCATCATGCGAAAGGATGGGCTGGATGAATCCCAAACCAGAATTAAGATTGCCGGAAGAAATATCAACAACCTCAGATATGCAGATGACACAACCTTGATGGCAGAAAGCGAGGAGGAATTAAAGAACCTTTTAATGAGGGTGAAAGAGGAGAGCTCAAAATATGGTCTGAAGCTCAACATCAAAAAAACTAAGCTCATGGCCACTATGAATCACCTCCTGGCAAATAGAAGGGGAAGAAATGGAGGTAGTGAGAGATTTTACTTTCTTGGGTTCCATGATCACTGCAGATGGTGACATCAGTCACGAAATTAAAAGACGCCTGCTTCTTGGAAGAAAAGCAATGACAAACCTAGACAGCATCTTAAAAAGCAGAGATATCACCTTGCCAACAAAGGTCCGTATAGTAAAAGCTATGGTTTTCCCAGTAGTGATGTATGGAAGTGAGAGCTGGACCATAAAGAAGGCTGATTGCAGAAGAATTGATGCTTTTGAATTATGGTGCTGGAGGAGACTTTTGAGAGTCCCGTGGATTGCAAGAAGATCAAACCTATCCATTCTGAAGGAAATCAGGCCTGAGTGCTCACTGGAAGGACAGATCCTGAAGCTAAGGCTCCAATACTTTGGCCACCTCATGAGAAGAGAAGACTCCCTGGAAAAGACCCTGATGCTGGGAAAGATGGAGGGCACAAGGAGAAGGGGATGAGGTGGTTGGACAGTGTTCTCATGTTGATCAACATGAGTTTGACCAAACTGCGGGAGACAGTGGAAGACAGGAGTGCCTGGTGTGCTCTGGTCCATGGGGTCATGAACAGTCAGACACGACTAAATGACTAAACAACAACCAGAAGAAGAACAACATTATGCATTGTGAAGAACAACATTATGCATTCCAATCCCAAAGAAGGGCAGTGCCAAAGAATGTTCCAACTACCGCACAATTGCACTCATTTCACAAGCTAACAAGGTTATGCTTAAAATTCTACATGGTAGGCTCAAGCAGTATGTGGACCGAGAACTCCCAGAAGTGCAAGCTGGATTTAGAAGAGGCAGAGGAACCAGAGACCAAATTGCAAACATGCGCTGAGACTCCAATACTTTGGCCACCTCATGAGAAGAGAAGACTCCCTGGAAAAGACCCTGATGTTGGGAAAGATGGAGGGCAAAAGGAGAAGGGGACGACAGAGGACGAGATGGTTGGACAGTGTTCTCGAAACTACCAGCATGAGTTTGACCAAAATGCGGGAGGCAGTGGAAAACAGAAGTGCCTGGCGTGCTCTGGTCCACTGGGTCACTAAGAGTCGGACACGACTAAATGACTAAACAACAACAACAGGCCTCTTTCTGCCGGTCCAAGCTGGTTTAAACAGGTCTGGGCTGGTTTGATCCGGCCCAAGCCAGTTTGAACAGTTCCAGACAGCTTCCAGCAGGTCCAGGCCAGTTGGAGCAGGTGCAGGTCATTTTAAACTGTCCCTAGCTGGTTAGAACAGGTCCAGGCCAGTTGAGACAGGTCTATGTCACTTGGAACCAGCCCAGAGTGGTTAGAATCAGTTCATACTAGTTGGATCCAGTCCAAGAGGTTCAAACCAGTCCAAACCAGTTGGAAAAGGTTCAGGCAGGTTCCAACTTTCCCAGAGCAGTTTGAACAGGCCAAGACATGCAAAGATGCAAGTGTCTCACCAGACCCAGCATTCAGTCAGTCAACCAGCTACAACCAGCTACAAATCCACCTGTTAACCTAATTCAACCCACATTTTACCATCTTCCTCATAAGAATATCATGGGTGGGCTTTGTCAAAAGCCTTACTGAAACCAAGATACACTATGTCCACAGCATTCCCCCAATCCACCAAGCTTGTAACTCTATCAAAAGAAGAAATATGATTTGTCTGGCATGACTTAGTTTTTGAGAAACCCATGCTGGGTCTTAGTAATCACAGCATCCTTTTCTAAAATCTCATAGGCTGACTGTTGAATTATCTGTTCTAGGACCTTTCCTGGTATTGATGTCGGTGCTCACTTGTTGGTTGTTACCTGGGTCTTCTTTCCCCCTTTTTTGAAGATGGGGACTGTTATGTACTGAAGTTCTCACCCTGGGCCAGCAGGGGGATAGTGTAGATAGTTATGCAAATAAGGGATCGAAAGTGACGTTCAGTGATTGGATAGTTTTAGAAAGTTGTAACAATTATGTGTACTGGAGCTCTATATAAGCAGGCTGACTGAGCCCTTCAGCTCAGTTCCTGTTCTGGCCTCTGAAAAAAGAAGAGCTGTTTGAAGAATCGCTGTGTCATCTGATATGTTCACCCACAACTTAACAGGGACAACATTTGCCTGCCTCCAGTCTGTAGGGACTTCACCTGCTCTCCAGGAATTCTCAAAAATTATAGACAGAGGCTCTGAGATTACATTCTCAAACCCCTTTAGTACCATTGGGTACAGCTCATTAGACCCTGGAGCTTTTAATTTGTTTAACGTAGCTAGGTGTTCCTTTCCCACCACTTCTCCTATATTGGGCTGCAGTTCCCGCCTTGCATTGTTTTTTTGTGTTATCACCAGGTTGGGCACGGCTTTCCTTTTGGATAGAGGTCAAGTAGGAGCAGCCTCCACCTTCTCTCTGTCACTCAATAGCATTTCTCCGTTTTCTCCCCTCAGAGGACCTACCACTTGCTTGTTCTTCCTGCTGCTTTGAACATAGCCAAATAAACCTTTATTGCGTGGCAAGTCCCCCTCCCCCCTTGAGAAATAAATACACAGGACACGGTATTTAAGGTTAATGGGCAAAAACAGCCACAACTTTATTGATTGGAGGAATTGAGCGGTATTGGCTTAGGCCTATCGGCTATCAGCTGGAGAGGCGAAGAGAGAGCGGTCCTCGGGCGCGCCGGGCATAAATAGCCCAGGCCACACCCACCCACCCCCGACCAGCCGATTGGCTAGGCAGGGAGATGACACGCGTGAGGATTCCTTCATTCTTGCAAGGGCTGTGAGCCAGCCCCCACGTGCGTGGGGAGGACGTGGGCCCGCAACCCCACCTCCTCTTCAGTTCGGAAGTGGCTTTATTATCTTTCACCTCTCTTGCAAGCCTGAGATCATTCTGAGCTTTAGCCCGCCTGACCTTTCCCCCGTCACAGTTGGCTACTCATGTATACTCTTCCTTCACAATTCCCCTTTAAACCCACAGTGTGAATGTGGCCTAGGTTAGCCCTATTGGCCAGGATTCCAGCAATAAGTGGGTCCTGATCCACATCGAGAATAGCAAACAGCTGCTCTCTACCGTGTTCCGTGCTCTTCCAATGCCCACCTGCCTCAGCAGATGGAATGTGAACATTCAAAAAACCATGAGAAACTGTTAGCCTGGTCATGGAATTTCCCACCACAGGAGAGGACATTTGAACCGGCATGGTGGTTCCTCCTCCCTCTTTGTCGTCTCCTTTGTCATCTAGAAGTCTCTGGAAATACACTTTAGAAGATTAAATGAGAATTCCTGGGACTAGAGGAATATAATTATTGGGATATCTTCCTCTCTCTGGTGTCCACCCTTCCTCCTTTTGGTCCTTCTTATCACCCGGAAAGGTGACCACAACAGCTTCTGAGACGAGAAACTGGTGCCGCCTAGGCCCTAAAGTTGTGGAGGCCTTTAGAGTCAAAGGTTTAAAGAAGGCCAGTGTTTTGGTTACCCTAACTCCATTTGAAAATGCCAGACAGCAGTGGCCACTTCACCTTTTTGAACTCTCTCACAACCAAATGACGTTGACGACTGTCAAGAGAGAGATGGTGGCAGTGGCAGGAATTGCCTTGTGTTTTCTTGAGCACGCTGACAAGTCTAAAAAAGCCTCTTGAGAATTAATGATTGGTGGGGATGTTAAGTCAGAAAGCCCAGTCTGTCTCCTCTCTACTCTAGGCTGTTTAAGGATAGTGAATAGTGGAAGCAAATCATGGCACGTGGCAGCGGTGGCCTCCACAAATGGCTGGTTCTGCAGTTGACGAATCCTGTTATTTTGCTGGGGTTCCTCCTTCCCACCAGCTCATTTCCTGCTCCTGAGTATACGTCGTATGAAGTGATCACCCCAAGGCAGTTGGTGCTTTGGGGAGGGAAAGCCAAGAAGGATGAACTTTCCTATATCCTCAATGTATCAGGAAAGGACTACGTCATTCAGTTGAAGCCCAGGAAGGACGACTTCCTGGTCAAAAACCTCCCACTCTTCACATACAGTTCCCAGGGCAGACGGATCGAAAGTCATCCCTACATCCCTGTTGAATGCTACCACGAAGGGCATGTGGATGGCGTAGCCAATTCGCTTGTGGTTCTTAAGACCTGCTCTGGCTTGACAGGATTCCTAAGTATCAGAGACAGAAATTATGGCATAGAGCCTTTCCACGATTCTTCAGCTTTTCAGCACCTTCTCTACCTGATCAACGAACCAAAGCCTTGTATGTGTGGAATGAGAGCTCCAGTTGCAAAGCGTCAGGCAGAAGAACTGAGGGCGGAAAGGGGGATCCGGCGTGACCCAAGGCACCCAAAATACATTGAGCTGTACATTGTTGTGGACGAGAAGCTGTTTCAGTTTAAAGGTGCCAATGAAACCAGGATGGCATACCTCATTTTGGACATAGTTAACTTAATGAGTGTGCACTTCCGGGTGCTGCACACAAGTATTGTCCTGATTGGACTGGAGATCTGGAACACAGGCAACCCTTTCGAGGTTACAAATGACGTTGGGTTGCTTCTGAATAATTTCAACAGCTGGAGAGTGAACGGTCTTGCGAAGTGGATGAAGCACGACACAGCCCTGTTGCTCACTCACCAGGAGTTCGAGCACACCCTCGGGAAGTCATACGGTAATGCCATCTGTAGGCCAAGCTATTCTGCAGGGGTTTTGAGCTACTTGCAGAAGGATCCAATTCTCTTTTCAAGGGCCATGTCCCATGAGTTGGGTCATCACATGGGGCTTGAACACGACGAATCCAACTGTGTTTGTGGAGGATACAAAACCTGTGTCATGCATTCGTACCAGGCAGAAACGAACAAGTTCAGCAACTGCAGCATTCACACTTATGCAGAACTTGTGCTGGAAGGGAACCTGGACTGCCTGGCCAACAGGCCCCAAAAAATACCATCTATCAAGCATTGTGGCAATGGAGTGTTGGATAAGGGAGAAGAATGTGACTGCGGCGGCACGCAGAGGTGCAGGCAGAATCTTTGCTGCAACGCTGACTGCACCTTGAAGCAACGTGCACAGTGCTCTTCTGGGGCATGTTGTAAAAACTGTCACTTCCGTCCAAGTGGAGACCTTTGTCGAATTCAGATCAATGAGTGTGACCTTCCCGAGTACTGTAGTGGGAATTCTGAGTGGTGCCCCAATGATGTGTACATGCAAGACGGGACGCCGTGCAGCAAACACGATTCCCATTGTTATGCCAAGCAGTGTTGGACTCACAACTACCTGTGCGCCAGGATCTTTGGCTATGGAGCCACAGCGGCTCCAGCATCCTGCTTTCATTCTCGGAATACTGTGGGGGATGCGTATGGCAACTGTGGCAGGGAGTGGACAGCAAGTACTTTTGTGAAATGCCAGCCTCAAGACGTAAAGTGCGGGAGAGTTCAGTGTACCAACGTCAGAGACATACCTTCAATACCACACTATACCGTGACTCCCACTGAGTTGTCAGGCGCTAGTGCTAGCTGCTGGAGCGTGGCCTACCATGGCGGGACAGATTTTGTGGATCTCGGAATGGTGCCTGACGGCACTCCATGTGGCCCTGGGAAACTCTGCAAGAACCATACGTGCATTTTCAGGAAGAAGGCAGTGTGTGATCCCAACAAAAAGTGCAATGACAGAGGTGTTTGTAACAACCGCAATAACTGCCACTGCAACAGCGGCTGGGCCCCTCCGAACTGCATGTTTTGGGGGTCTGGGGGAAGCATCGATGGTGGGTATCCAAGGCAGAACTGGAGCACAAAAGTCGTGAAACGAGCTTTTGAAACAGTGATCCCTCTAGGAGTCCTGGTTCTTGCTGCTATCACTTTCATTGTGCCAAGGCTGTGGAAGCTACCAGAATGGTACAGGCAATTCACCGGCTCATGGGATGGAGGGAATCTGCAAGGCAGCAGCCCAGAGGTTGACAAAGTTGATTCCTGTCACGTTTGCAAAGTAAAGGAAGGAATGAACTCTACAGATTCCAAAGAGTAATGCTTGTGGACATTTCAAGGCATCCTTGGACCTCCTGTTAAGACATCGACTGCACTCCAAAGCATCTATAATAAAGCAGAGGTTGGTGGCAAGTGGACTCCAATTCCCATCATCCCTGGCTGTTGACCATGCTGCGCCAGTGGCTGATGGGAACTGTAGTTCAGCCGTATGTCGGGGGCGGCGCACATGCTCCCTCATCCCAGAAATAAATTTCACCTGTATATAGTCCTTATAATAGGAGCAATTGTAATACGGTCTTTGCTCTAATAAAATTTGCATTTTTCCCCAGTTGCAAAAGCCTTAAGAAGAATGCACCGAAATAGTTTAATGAAATCAAATGTTTCACTCCGTGCTGTGTAACCTAGCAGTAGTAAAACAGTTTGTCCTTGTTGGGTGACTAACTCAGAACTTCAAGGACTGTTAAGTGTCATTTCACTAGCATTTAGGAACTGGGTCTGCACAATTAACCATGTGTACAACCTTGGCTTTCCCTCACTCGCCCTTTTCATCCAGGGTGAAACAGCAAAGACATGACATGAGAAGAGTCCTGCCGAGTCAGGCCAGTGGCCCATCAAGTCCAACACCATGTTCTTACAGTGGCCAAACAGAGGCATGTGGTAAACCGACAAGCAGGACCTGAGCACAAGATTCCCTTCTTGCAATGTGATGGCCAGGGCTGAGGGCAGTTTTGGTTCAAAGCGGCTGGAGGACACCATGTTGGCCAAAACTGAGCTTAGGCTGAGCAAATGATGGCAGAGAGACATGCTTATATGGCTGCTCAAACTTGCCCAGGAGGGAGTCCCATTGCAGGGGTGGCACTTGCTTCCAAGTAAGCATGCAGAGATGTGCACAACTCGCAATGTATTCAAAGGGCCCCCTTGGTGTGTACAAGCGCACACACACACACACACACACACACACACACACTGGTGTGGTGTGTGTGTATGAGTCAGTGATAGCGCAGTAGTTAGAGAGCTGGACTAGGTCTGGGAGAGCTCACAGGGTGGCTCTTGTGCCAGTCACAGTATCTCTGCCTAACCTACCTCACAGGGTTGTTGCAAGGATAAAGTGGGGAGGAGTAGGAGGTAAGCCAGCTTGAGCTCCTTGGAGGAAAGATGAGATACAAGAAGAGAAGAAGAAGAGTTTGGATTTGATATCCCGCTTTATCACTACCTTAAGGAGTCTCAAAGCAGCTAACAATCTCCTTTCCCTTCTTCCCCCACAACAAACACTCTGTGAGGTGAGTGGGGCTGGGAGACTTCAGAGAAGTGTGACTGGCCCAAGGTCACCCAGCAGCTGCAGGTGGAGGAGCGGAGACGCGAACCCAGTTCACCAGATTACGAGTCCACCGCTCTTAAGCACTACACCACACTGGCTCATATAAATGTTAACAATAATAATAATAATAATATCCAAGACAATAAATGCCACATGTTCCCTTTTGTCTTTACTGTTGAGTGGAAAACGACAAAAACAAGCAGCTCTGAGGAAGAAAAGGTCGGCCCCACAGCAGCCTATTATCGCACACATCCAGATTCCAACACAGTCCTGGAATAATCTCCTGTACAGGAACTGCTGCAGAATTAAAAGAGGCTCCCCCTTGCCCATATAAATAACGGTTGTCAAACACACCATCCAGGTCCCATGATGAAGCCTCAGTTTTCCTGCTCCACCAAAAGGCTCATGGGGGAGAGGGTGCCATTGCTGCCGCCGCTGGCCAGTCGCGGTCTTGCTCCTTGTGTAGATCAGTCCTTTTCTGAATGCCAAAGTTCTTGCCGGTTCCCTCCCACCTTGTAGGTTACAGGGCGCTGGACTGGATAAGGCCTCTTAACTTGGCAGGGCATGGGTGGGATCAGGTGGGGAGCTTGGTGGGCCAAGGTGGCTGGGCTGCCCACCTTCCCCTCCGGCAATACGTGGCAGCGAGGAGGGGGTGCCAAAGGAGTGGGAGGAGAGAGTTTCGGGTGCTCAGCCAGAGGGACTCCAAAAGCTCCCTTGCTCACAGCGCCGTGGAGCCCGCAGCGGACTTGGCCTCCACCTGGCGTCCAGCAGCGGGGAGCGTGCTTTCGTAGAACCTCTTCTGGGACCGCAGGAGCGGTGTCTGGGTCTCGCCATCTTGGCAGGCCCTGCGCTTCAGGCAGCGGAACGTGTGCTGGGTCCAGCAGTAAACAGCACAGTTCAGGAGGCCCTGGGATGACGCCGTCAGAGCCTAGGAGAGAGATGGGGAGACGGGCAGGGTCAGCGGCTGCAGCAGAACTGGAGAGCAGCAAAATTCCAGTTGAAGCAGTGGAATCCAGCGGTGCCATTTCAATCAGCTCTTCCCCCCCCTCAAGACCATGAGGTCTAGCACCTTAATTTACTTTTTTGGGGAAGGAACACAACGCAGCAGTAAAGCCCTCGATCTGCATGGCACCTCCAGGTAGGTCTGGGAGGGACCCTTGCCTGGAAGCCACTGGTCCAACTCCATGAAATACTTTGCATTCATGTTGAGGCCTAGTCCGTTTCCAGCCTCTCTGGAGTGTCCTATCCTCACTGTTGCTGCTGTTTACAGTGGTGCCCCGCAAGACGAATGCCTCGCAAGATGAAAAACCCGCTAGACGAAAGGGTTTTCCGTTTTTCGATGCGCTTCGCAAGACGAATTTCCCTATGGGCTTGCTTCGCAAGACGAAAACGTCTTGCGAGTCTTGAGATTTTTTTCGCTCCCCCCCCTTTTTCTAAGCTGCTAATAGCCTTTTAGCCGCTAAGCTGCTAAGCCTTTAATAGCCGCTAAACCGCTAATAGCGCTAATCCGCTAATAGGGTTGCTTCACAAGACGAAAAAACCGCTTGACGAAGAGACTCGCGGAATGGATTATTTTCGTCTTGCGAGGCACCACTGTACTGTGCTTTTCTTCAGCTATCACCCTGGTTTCCTCCCTTAAACGTATTCCATCTCCTCATCCACATCTTTAAACAGACAAAAAGGCCTCCTCTGAAATTGCTTGCCCTCAGCTTCCCCCCCTTTTTTGCATTTGAAACAAGGTGCTCTACCGCTGCCCCTCCCCAATATAAATCTTTGACATGAAATAACATGAATACTGCCCACGACTCTCCTTGGTTGTCATGGACCTGTTGCTCATCCTGACTCTCAGCCTGACATACCTCACGGGGTTGGCGTGAGAATAAAATGGCAACACAGGGAGGGGGGACAGTGTAGATTGTCATCTGAGAAGATACTGGGGTAGAAATCCCATAAACCGAGTGGCCCCAAAGAGCAGCCATCCCCCCAAAAATATCCCCATTTGCTTTTCAGAAGGAGCATCCAGTGCCATTTTGAAAGACGAGTAGAACCTGCAACAAAATGTTGCAGCGGGGTTCAGCACACTGCAGCCCCTTTCGCCTCCCCTCCTGGAAATGGCCTAGTTAAGCATGACAGTTCCATTTCCTTCTCCATCCTGTTTTTTCTATAAAAAAAACCCCACCTGCCCAAAAGCAAAAGTCGATCAGCATTGTGTAGCTCCTGAACATGCTCAGTACCCTTGCCAGGTCAGGAGCACCCCTGTCCTCTGAGATTTCAGGGCCCAAACTTGAGACCTGGGAGGCGGAGGGGGTGCTGGTGATTATCTTTGCGCTCCCTCCCACCACTGAGCCCTGAAGATGAAAAGAGGGGGGAGCAGAGGCAGGCAGGGCCCTACAAGCCTAGACAATAAGTTGTAGCCAGCTCGCGGAGGGCTGAAGAGAACAAGCTGCAGGCAGAGTTGTCTTCATAAAAAGTCATTTTTGAAAAAGGCACTCTCACCAGGCTAGAGATGACAGGCAAACCTGTTCTGTCTCCCCTGGGCTGTTTTAGCATTTCCCTACCCCAACATAACGGGACGTGGGTGGCGCTGTGGGTTAAACCACAGAGCCTAGGACTTGCCGATCAGAAGGTCGGCGGTTCGAATCCCCATGACGGGGTGAGCTCCTGTTGCTCTTGAGGAGCAAGCATCACTGTTTGGGAACAGAGGGACACAGTTCCGAGAAAAAGACAAACCTAAGTAAATACTTCACCTGCTCTGTGATCAGCAGTCCCTCCACAACTGGCTCAACTCAGAACGGACACCGCTGTCTCAAGGAACACAAGGAGCCCTCTGTGTACTTTATGCAGGTGGAGGCAGCTGCATGATTTGTGAGCTGGATTGCTAGGTTGGCAAAGCAAGGGACAAGGGTGGTGCTGTGGGTTAAACCACAGAGCCTAGGACTTGCCGATCAGAAGGTCAGCGGTTCGAATCCCCGCGACGGGGTGAGCTCCCGTTGCTCAGTCTCTGCTTCTGCCAGCCTAGCAGTTCGTAAGCACGTCAAAGTGCAAGTAGATAAATAGGTACCGCTCCGGCGGGAAGGTAAACGGCGTTTTCGTGCGCTGCTCTGGTTCGCCAGAAGCGGCTTAGTCATGCTGGCCACATGACCCGGAAGCTGTACGCCGGCTCCCTCAGCCAATAAAGCGAGATAAGCACCGCAACCCCAGAGTCAGTCACGACTGGACCTAATGGTCAGGGGTCCCTTTACCTTTACCTCTACCCCAACATATTTTCTGAACTTCTGCAAACCTTGGGTGATGCTTTCCTCCCTCTCGGAAGGTGGACGGTGCAGTTAGCAGGTGGAGAATGAGTTTGCTATTAGTTTTTAGGATTCATTTTAATGTGGCTTTATTACCACAGCTGCAGTTGGGGCAAGGGGCCCAACTTGCAGAGCTAGCCCATAGGTCCCATTGTCTGCAGCGCTGGTCATGCCAGTGGTGCCGTCAGGGTTTGACCTGAGGCTCACATTGATTGTTTTATTTTTATTTATTTTCCTTGCATTGACAGCTTCCGTCACGGAAGCCAGAGGAATGCAAATGTAGCTCCTATGCAATCACTGTGGGATGTGATCCATGAGAAGCAATTAAGTACAACATTCCTTGTAACGCTAGAGAAGACATGCGAGGGAATGTTTGGTCCAGCCATTCACAACTTCCTGTTCCTCCTGGCTGGAGCATCCTTCCTTTTG